AATGAGAAATTCAAAAGCATGTGGATTATGTGAACGATTTCAAAAAATGTTCTTTGCCTGAGACACGGCATTTTTATACCTGTAAAGAAAAAGATTAAAGATTAAAGAACATAAAAATACAAATAAGAAAAAACACAAAAACATAAAGACATAAAACACAAAAACAAACATAAAGATGCTATTAAAATTTGAAGTCATTTGAAGGAGATCTAACAAAGTTATTAGATTGCGAAATGATATCAAATTTTTGAAAAATATATATATATATATATATATATATATATATATATATATATAAGAATATATATAGAAGAAGAAGAAGAAGAAGAAGAAGAAGAAGAAGATATGCCTTACGCTTTGCATGAACATCCTCATCTTGGTTGTTATACTCACGACATTTCGGCTGCTGTTTGCTTCAGCCTTCTTTATAGGTTTAATTTGCAACTATTCCAAATTAATCTTTGATACCATGTAACTCAATGCTAACTGCCACATGATCGGGTCATTAGCGACAAACCCTGTTCATCGACCAAGCTTTTTCTGCGAAAGAGCTGATGAACTTTCTCTTATGGTCAACGGCCATTTAGCGGAATAGAGTAAGCTGAATTACTTAGTTAGGCATGCCGCCAAATTGCGGTGATCACACGTCATTGTTGAGGCGGAGGGCTTCCCAGGTGGCGGCTTCCCTCGAAGGAATCAACGGCCACATGATCCGCAACCAAGTTGAGCCTTCAGCTTGGAGGACATCGGCTGTGGTTTAAACTGGAAGGGGGAACAGCCTCCGCCAGGTCTACTTGCCCAAGACACGCTACGCCTGAATGAACACCTCCCGGGCTTTCGAACAAGCGGTAACTGGTCAGCGCACAGCGACTCTACGACAACACACGTTCATAGGGATGATGATGATGATGAGGATGATGATGATGATGAGGATGATGATGATGATTAAAACATATTTAGTTAATGGGCAATAATGAGTTTAATCCTTGGGTATGGTAGTGCTGAAATATCAGATATTTTGATTCAGTGGAAGAAACGGACAAGTGACACAAATTTTAATAAGACTGGTGTGTGTGTGTGTGTGTGTGTGTGTGTGTGTGTGTGTGTGTGTGTGTGTGTGTGTGTGTGTGTGTGTGATGAACTGATTATTTATCTCCCCTCAGCATGAAAAGTGGAATGAGAACACTCTGCCTCCACTGGACTTAATAATGGAATCGCTTCAAAATTCCGAGAAGGTTGCTAACGAGTACTAAGGCAAACACCTGAAGAGGACTATCTCAGAACTATCTGAGTAAGACGACCAAGACCACTACGATGGTCCTAATAATAAGGCATACAATGTATGCAAAATCAAGCAGAGAACAGCAAATATCTAAACGAAAAAGGACCTCGGTGTAGGGTAATGGTTAATGAGGCTACTCTATTTCAGCATTACTACTGAGTACTGAGGTCAACCCCATACAAAGGTCGGCATTAAATGACCAAATAAGGAATGATATATGTCATAGAATCAACTAATTTTACTAAATTACTTCGGTATTGAGTAATGGTTACCGAGGCTAGTCTGACCATTACTACTGAGTAGCGAGGTCAATCCTCACTGGGGGTCCCATATTAAATTCACCAATAAATTATCAATTATTGGCATGTAAAAAGAACCAAAGAGAAGCCTGACGTTAAATAATGGTTAACAATAGTAGTCTTTTTTACATTTACTACTGAGTAGTGACGCCAATCCTCACCGGGGATCCCATATAAAATTCAATATTAAATAGACACCAAAGAATTTATCTGTATTATAATCAACAAAAAATAATAAGAGCTTCGGTGTTGGATAATGTCTTAGCAAGGCTAGTCTGTTTGACCATTGCTACTGAGTAATGAAGTCAATCCTCACTGGGGGTCCCATATAAAATTCAATATTAAATAACCCCAAAAGTATCGATATCTCATAAAATCAAACAACTTAAGTAAATATAATCTTCAGCGTCGTGTTATAATTGGCGAGGCTAGTCCGTTCGACCAATCCTACTGGGTAGTAACGTCAATCCTCACCGGGTGCGCATTCAAAGTTCGGCATTAAATAACCCCAAAAGTCTTGACATGCCATAACTTCAACCAACCAAACATGCAGTTCTATTGTTGAGACAACTATATGCATAGCTGTGCTGGTTGCAGTCCGAATATTTAATTCTGTTTGTAAGGATACCCGTACGAATTACCGTAATCCAAATCCACCCCGGTACCGTTTTCGTTCCTCTTTGCTTAAGACAAGCATTTTGGCACCAAAGTAGTAATTAGCCTTTCGGAGTTGACGATAAGAATGCATGGAATTGAAAAGAATGGACGTAAGAAACGGTAAATCGATAATGAAGAATAAGATAAGCTACACATCTTTGGTATCGGAAGCCAGTTCCATTGAATTATCCGATCAAAGCTGCAAGTGGAAGCCATTTTAATGGGAAAAAATCTAACAATAAAAAAGTAACTGCAGTTGTGTCTTCAACAGAAAATCTTACGTTAAACTCCCGTTATAATTAAAAGCACCAGAAAGAGCTATTGTGGTGGCAACCAGGCTAGAAGGAAAATTCTAACTTCAAAACCAGATGGATGGCTTCTGTCAGGCTATTCTGTCAGAAACACACTATGGCCGCAATAGATGTGGTGTCTCTACGACTCTTATCAGTTACGGGACTCGTGATGACATGTGATGTGACGTAAGAGCGATGTGTGTGGTTTTAACCAATAAGAATCCGCCTTGCAGCTGAAAATTCATGCTAGATCCTGGGAATGTTTAAATAGAGTCCTTGGGTTCAATAACCCATGGATTCGAACTGTTCAAGAAAAATGCTACATTCCCAAAACCTGACTAAATAATAAAATCTTCTCTTAGTCGAGTCGAACATTTGTCAGCACCATTCGTATTTATTTAATTAGATTTAGTTTTCGTTAACCTGGTGGACAAAAAGTAAATCTTACATTTGAAATCAAAACCCCTCGTTAAATACCTGAAAAGTTTTGAAAATTTCTAATTCTAATATATGAAATCTTGGGATCTTATTAGTCATCAGATAAGTTTTCATGTTTATAACTTCTGCTATCCTTCTACTATGGAATAACATACAGATACAAAAAATCGGGTATAAAATTAAGATTATAAAAGGGAAATTGCCTGGTTTAAGGCAAAATATTTATCGTAATGAGTTGACAAAAATCATAAACTTCTTCTCATTCGGGATTTCTTGTATATTTGCTACTGAGAATAATTTTTTTACATTGAATATTATTGGTACTTCAATGAATATTATTAGTACTTCAATAAATATTACTAGTACTTCATTGGATAATATCGGTACTTCAATGAATATTATGGGCACTTCAATGAATATTATCGTTTTGTGTCAGCCTCACTTGTCTTCCCAAATGAGCAATGGTGAGAGGAAAAAGATCATTCAGGCCTTCAGTAATGGTATCAACATTCATACTCTGGCTTCCATCTTCAAAGTCCATTCAAGAACTAAGAACAGAATGATGAATAAGTTTAAAAAAGAAGAGAGCAGTAGAGAGGAAAACTGGGTTAGGAGGTCACAACAACAAGAGGGATCATCATTTCAACTTAGAGCTATTGCACAAATTAGAGTCCAGTAGCGTTATGAAAGCCCCGGAGAATTCAAGTAAGATATCTTTAATCATTTCTAAGATACAATGCTTCAAAGCTTAATGTAACAATTGGACAATATTGCTGTTACACGATTTGGATAATTTTACCTATATATATATATATATATATATATATATATATATATATATATATATATATATAAAGTGAACATTGAAGTCAACACTCAGAGGCGACCGACTATTGCATCTAGCATGGAACTGCCTGTTGCCTCTGAGTGTTGACTTCAATGTTCACTTTATATTTACATACGCTCTATCTATGATATTGAGCATTTTATCCCATAAATATAGCACACCTTAAAACTATATTTCTTTATATATACATATCTCTAATTCCGACACGAATACAGTCCAAACACCGGGGTTTAATAAGACCAACGTACTTCGCGTTGGTTGAAATAGATCTATCCCCACATGAGGTAATTTTGGGTGTTGTTGTGCAATATATATATATATATATATATATATATATATATATATATATATATATATATATATTAGGAGTAGATAGGTTCGCATATTGCCCAGTTCACACTCCTCTTCGGTCTTTTGGAATAGAGGTTTATCCCTTTTTCCTGTTTAGGACTGTATTTGTGGTTCCTTCCTAATAAATTCTTGCGTATTAATGGCAGTATTGCCTTTTTGGGGTAAATTATATATATATATATATATATATATATATATATATATATATATAATAGACTCTCCCGTCGTTTTCGACGTTAAAGTGTCAAAAAGCAATTCAGTTCCTAGGAACCGACAGCCAGACACCTGCACATATGATTTGAAAAGCCGAATACAGAGACCAGGTACACCGTGTGCCACACGGTCCCCAAACAACCCTCCGTAGGTTTTGAATACAGACTTTCCTTCTCCTAGGCCAGTCTATAGAAACCAGATTATCCTGCTATTTACATAGGTGTCGTTTGAAAACGGGACTTCGTTTCACACGCAACTGAAATTTATGACATCTGCACATATTCGCACTTCTCGCCTGTGGAACTCTCTTCCAGTTTCTTGCTTCCCTGGCAACTGCAAGCTGCAAAATTTTAAATGCAACGCCAATCGCCAACTTCTGTCTTCCTGAATCCTGTTCTTTTTATTGTGCTTTCTCCTCAGTAAAATCTCCTCATTATCTTTCGCACCCTGTAAACGTTTGCATCTTAGTTGCATTATGTCCTTGCTTGGGGTTAATTAGTCAAATTGGAGAAATGGGAGATGCATATTCGTCATTCGATGTTTCTAGAAACTTTTAAGGAAACGAGATACAAACATCAATTTGTTCTTATTCCTTAGTAATGTTTCTGTTTTCTAATTTTTTATAAACGAAAGTCTTGGAAGAAGACGAAGAAGGAGGAGGGAAGAAGGAGGAGGGAAGAAGGAGGAGGGAAGAATAAGGAGGAGGAGGAGGGAAGAAAAAGGAGAAGAAAGAGGAGGAGGAGGAGGGAAGAAGAAGAACGATGAGGAGGAGGGAAGGTGTTATGGGGTCCACCCCTTTTTCATATAAGTGGACTCTACCAGTGTACCTGGACTGCTGCCGTTCAATACCCAGAGTTAGACAGTCAGTGAGGGTAGTCGGAAAAGAGAGAGAGAGAGAGAGGATGAGAGAGAGAGAGAGAGAATATACGAACGGAGATAGTGTGAGGGAGCCTCTTGTAGAAGTCAGTTACAAGCACGTAGACTCTAAGGAAGTCCTACTTCGAGACTGTATATATCTATCTATATTTGCTACTAACCGTGTTCCTGGATTTACTAACAGTATTACCCTTTATATGATTGTGTAAATACATTTTATTTCTTATATTTAATTATTGCGTTTGTTCTTCACTGGAAACCGAATTCATCTCGGAATCCACAACAGGAGGAAAGAAGAAGTAGGAGGGGGAGGAGGGAAGAAGAAGAATGACGAGGAGGAGAGAAGCAGAAGGAGGAGGAGGGAAGAAGACTGAGGAGGAGGAACGAAGAAGGAGGAGGAGGGAAGAAGAAGAAGAAGAAGAATGATGAGAAGAAGAAGAATTAAGAGGAGGGAAGGAAAAGGAGGTGAAATGAGAAAGAGGAGGAGGTGGAGAGGGAGAAGAAGAATGAGGAGGAGGAGGGAAGGAGGAGGAGGAGAAGGGAAGAAGAAGAAGAAGAAGAATGACGAGGAGGGAAGAAGAAGGATGAGAATAATAATAATAATGAGAAGAAGAATAAAGAGAAAAAGAAGAAGAAAAAGATGGAAGACGAGAGTGAGAAAAAAAATGATGAAGAACTCGAAAGAGAAAAAGAAAAGAGAGTAGAGAATAAGGGAGAATCGAAAGGGAACAAGGAGACGCACAAAAAAAAACACAAAGAGAAAAGAAATGGAAAGAGAAAAATGAGAAATAGATGAAAAAGAAAAAGAGAAAACTTTTAAAGAAAGAATTAACGATAGATCTCAACGGGGAAGAAAAAAGCAGTGTAAGTTAAAAGAGAAAAAGTGTGAAACAGAAAAAGAAAAAAAAAGAAAGGGGGGGAGTAGAAAAAGGAAAGAGAATAAAAGAAAAGCTCAGAAATGCAAAAGAGAACAAGAGAGATTTGAAAGAGAAAAAAAGGGAAGACAGAAAAAGAGAAAAGAGAATAAGAGAGACTCGAAAGAGAAAAAGGAGAGACAAAAAAATAACAAAGAGAAAAGAAATCAAAGGAAGAGAAAAAAAGAAAAAAAAGGAAGGAATATAAAAGAGAAAAAAAGAGACTTGGAAGAGAAAAAGAGGAGACAAAAAAGAAAAAGAGACGAGAAATAGAGAGAGAAAGTAATGAACAGAGCAGAATAACACAAAAGAGAATAACAGAGACTGAAATGAAAAAAAAAAAAGGGAGACACGAAAAGGAAAAAAAAAACAAACGAAAGGAAAACAGATTTTACATTTAGGAAGAGGAAGGGAGATTCGAAAGAAAGTAGGAAAGAGGTGAAAAAAGAAATGGAGAGACATTAAAGAAAAATAACAAAAGAGGTGAAAGAGAAAAAAAAACAATCAGAGGAACACTAATCAGTATCCATGGTGACAGTAATGAAAATGGCGGCACAAATAAGGGAAGTTTTGGGAGCAATAACACTGCGGGAGTGGGAAGTAATAAAGCAAAGGGAGAGTACACATTCCTGGGGATAGAGAAGAGTCTGGTAATGAGGGGGTTCCATTGAAACGTGTTTCCCGAAACGAAGCTGGGTTCACACGCAAATATCATTGATCAATAAAGCTGTTTAAACATCGTAAGGAACCTCGCCGGAAAAAAGGTTGTGTTCTTATACTCTTTAAAAAAATGATCTCTCGGAACCCCAGTCGTCTATATTTATGTTTATGAAAGATAGATATGTATGTTTATAGATAGATAGATTCAAGTAGGGTTATATAGATAGATTTAAACCGGGTGAAATAGATAGATAGATAGATAGATAGATAGATAGATTTAATCAGGATGTAACAGATTTAAACCGGGTGAAATAGATAGATAGATAGATAGATAGATAGATAGATTTAATCAGGATGTAACAGATTTAAACCAGGTGAGATAGATAGATAGATAGATAGATAGATAGATAGATAGATAGATAAATGATTTTTTTTATCAGGATGTAACAGATTAGAAACAAGGAAATAGATAGATAGATAGATAGATAGATAGATAGATAGATAGATAGATAGATAGATGTTTTATCAGGATGTAACAGATTTGAACAGGGTGAAATAGATAGATAGATAGATAGATAGATAGATAGATAGATAGATAGATAGATAGCTTCCTGGCCAAATTCATTTTAAATGTGTTTTCCTTTCTCATCGGTACATTTGTTTACACCAGAAATAAGCATTTCTGCATCGATTGTTCCGATAAATGGTTCGATCATCCGTTAAAAAATCGCTATTTCTTAATTCCGCAAATGGAAAATCTTTGCAAAATACATTTGCCACCAGCTTTTCCGTGCATCCGTATTTGGCGGCTGGTTGACTCAAGCTAAATGAAAGGGTTTCAATGCCAAATCTCGTTCCGCAATCTGTCGACTATATAGCGCCGAATATCCCGCTCAGAAAATCTCTGTGCGGGAATGATTCCTGGGGCGATCTCGGATACATGATGAGTCCGCTGACTGATAAACCCCATCTTTCTTGACGGTGAGAACGTTTTAAATCGAGAAAATTCCCCAGAAGAAAAAAAAATACTGCCTTTTTTCCGCACGTAGATACAGTGTCGTGCTTGCAGTTACATTACGACTGTTTGACGCTAAAATGTCGTAAGTGCATTTTTGCGATATGAGAATAAAAACGTTTTGGAAATGAAAAAAAAAAAGATAAAAAAAATTGAGAATAAAAATGAATAACACATTTTTTTTTTTTTTTTTTAGAAAAAGTATTTGGTGGAGAGGGATAACTTCCTAAAATTTCTTTCTAACAAAATATATTATACTCGTATTTTTCATCGTTTATCATCAAATCTCTCGCCTACCCCAGTCGTCAGGTTTGGGAAAACAGTAAGCAGAAAAAAAACAACATTGATTCTTCCTCTTGATACTTTCAGTGGATTTTTCAGATAACCCATCTCAGATTTCAATATTCCGACAGCCAAAGACCACGGAATATAGTATGAGTCTCTCTCGGTCCATACACTAGTCACTCAGGTTTTGAATTCAGAACTGTCCTTCTCCTAGATCGGTCACCACCCAAAACTATAGCACCCAGTCTATCCTGTTATTTACTGATATGGTAGTGGAAACTGATTAAATGTTCCTCATCGGGTTTTGAATTCAAAGTTGTCGTTATCCTAGACCGGTTTCCACCTAGTCTGTTCTGCTATTTACTCATACCTGGGATTACGAGGGATACATTCATACCTTTCCCAAGAGTATTAGCACTTAAAGGAATGTAATAAACCCGACTGGAATTCGAACTCTGTTTTCCGATTTCTCAATCCAAGTCGCTATCCATTACTACACAGTTCACCGTAGAGCTAGTTTATTTCCAAATTTGAATAAAATGTTTAAATTTTACGTCTGTTATTAAACATAAAGTACTATTTTATTAACGCTAGCACTCAATGTGGGGTTATATATATATATATATATATATATAAATGATGGTACTCGCTTAGTAGGTGTATACATAGGAAAAGCTGGTAGGTTTGTTTCTTTTATTATTTTTCTTTTGTCTTTTTTTTTTCAATAAAGTACATCCCCCCACGTTGTTTGGCTTTATTTAATTTTTTCTTTTTTTTTTTTTGTCTTTTTTTGTTCATAAAGTACATTTCAAAACCCTGAGTTTCATGCCGAAACAACTTTCAAGTGCTGGAATTATAATATTTATTTTTATTTATATAATTATTTATATGTTCATATAAATAGAAATAAAAGTAAATATTATAATTCCAGCACTTGAAACTTTTCGGCATGAAACTCCGAAATTAACGTAAGATATTATTTATAATATTTAACATATATATATATATATATATATATATATATATATATATATATAGTGCATAAAAATACTTTTACAAACTTTGGGGACAGGTTCCTGACACCAAAACAAGCTAAAATGTCCATATAGACATATGTGTTGCTGCCTTGTTAGGGACAGAAAAAAAACACAAAGAGAGGAATTGAGTTAACCCTAGAACACTAACCATGGGTATATAGTACCAAGCTCAAACTTTCCTATTTATAATTACAATTTTCAGTACCTGATTTTTTATAATTTAAATTTTTCAGTACCTGATTTTATTTTTTTACACCCGGAAAGGATTTGGCATACAAATGAACATGTTAACCCTAGAACACTAACCATGTGTATATAGAACCCAGCGAAAATTTTCCTATTTATAATTACAATTTTCAGTACCTGATTTTCTCTTCTACACCCGGAAAGGATTTGGCATACAAATGAACATGTGTTAACCCTAGAACACTAACCATGTGTATATAGAACTGAGGCGAATGAAGAAAATAGTAACCAGCGAGTAAATTCAAGCTCTCCCAACTGGTATTTCAAACTTGAGTCGTTCCTTCTTGAGTTGTCTCCAAATCACACTAACTGCCCGTTTTTTGCCGTCAACCGTGAACGTCTCTCGAAGAAATTTTAAACAAACAAAAAAAAGATAAAAACTCGGAAAAAAAGTAGTTCTTTTTATAATTGTTCATATACCCATAATCCCTTGCGTCTTCACGTGATCCCATAATTCATTGCGTCCATGTCCCATAATGCATTGCATCGTTATTGCATAAAAATGCGATGCCAGTCCCCCCTCATTCTTTTAAGTTATCTGGCCGAGGATGGATTACGGCAGAGCGGTAAGTGCTTTTTTTTCTCTCCCTCATTTCAACTGCAGTAGCTTTACATGCTAAGCAAATACGGGCTCTTTTTTGGCGGGGACAAGGCAAGTCGCGACCAGTTGTGCTGGTCCCAGGTTCTGTCTCATGTCCGCCACAAGAACCCAGCGAAAATTTTCATATTTTTAATTACAATTTTCAGCACCTGATTTTCTTACCTAAATAATGTTTTTCAGTTCCTATTAAAGTTAACTCAAAGTACAAAGTTTGAAGTGCCTGCATGTAAAATATTTCAAATAAAGATTTATATTTAATTTTTTTTTTTGATATTTTCAAATGATATACCCATGGTTAGTAGTGGTTTAATTTTAATTGATGGTTAGTGTTCTAGGATTAAACAAATATATTAACAGAAACAGTAATACAAACATATACAAACGAGAGTGTTACAGCAAGAATGTTCGGTCCGACTGTCAGAGCTGACTGCTGAAATATTCCCTCTCCAAAAGGCAGTACCTGCTCCTATTGATTGCTGGGAGAGTCCATGTGTGCGTGGGTAAATTATCATAACAATATGTTCAAAATGCTATCGTTGTACCCCAACACACCAACTCATAATAATTGTTCAAAATATCCTCCGCTTGCTTCTGCACCCGCATGCACCCGTCGGATCATTGACTGGCGGACACTTTTACATACTTCCACACGGTGTCGAATGGTTTCGCAGACCTCCATGGCACGTTGATGAAGCGTCTCTGCATTATTAATGTCTGCTGCATAAACCAATTGTTTTAGGTGGCTCAACAGATAAAAATCCGAACGATTGAGGTCGAGGAACGTGCAGGCCATGGAACCGGTCCTCCCCTATCTATCCATCTTCCATAGTAGATGTCAGCCTGTGCATCGCGAATAATTTGACTAAAATGTGCTGGAATCTCGTCATGCATGAACCAGATACGTCTTCGTATTAGCAGGGGTACATCCTCTAGCAGGTCTGGAAGTGTGTTCGAAATAAAGTCCCTGTATAGTACTCCTGTAAGACGTGCTAGTGGAACATATGGACCTAACAGAGAGTTACCTACAGTTCCAGTTCACACATTTATTGTAAACTGTTGCTTGGATTCCGATCTGAAAACAAATGTTGGTTGTGTAAATGTGTTATTCCATCTCTTCCAAATGTTGCCTCATCCGCAAACAAGACTGAAGACAGACAATGGGTCGCCAGTTTGTGCAATAAACCATCGGCAAAAGTTCTCTCTGGGTGATTGAACAGAGGGCGAAAGATCCTGCGCACGTTTCAAATGATACGCATACAGGAGCTGCCCTTGAAATAACCTCCATGCGGTACAATGAGATGTACGACTTGCTAGGACCACTTGATGTGTGCTGATACGTGAATCCTCTCCGACAGCCTGTAGAATGTGTTCTTAGTGGTCAGGCATACGAGCAGATTGGATGACTCGGCTGCCTTCAGTCTGGGAACGCAATCTGATACAGCCTTGCAGCTACGCGTCCATTACCATTCGCAGTATGTAGAAATCATATTTGTCTGCTGACGTTAAATACTGAAGACAGACAAACCACAAATGTACACGAATGACAAATGTAAACTAGTCTACTTGGCAATACAACGCCATCTACCGTAAACTTTCTTTAAGCTTATTTTCTCAAAAACGAAGGATTTGCAGACATATGTTTATATGAACATTTGTCCTTGTTTTGGTGTGAGGAACCCAGCCCCAAAGTTTGTAAAAGTATTTATATACACCCTATCTATCTAAGTATCTATATATATATATATATATATATATAGAGAGAGAGAGAGAGGGAGAGAGAGAGAGAGAGAGGGAGAGAGAGAGAGAGACAGAGAGAGAGAGATGAAAGGATTAAAATAAATGGACATAATACGTCGAAATTATTTATCCAAACCTACTTGAATGTACATATCTGCCTACACACACACACACACACACACACACACACACACACACATATATATATATATATATATATATATATATATATATATATATATACACAAGTATAGGATTAGAGTAGACGGAATAAAATTCCAATAACCAAAACGTAATTCTTAAAAGAGTGCTCAACACAGAGTAGGTCAAATATTATTTATTCAAAAATTATAGCATAAATATGTTATAACATGTTATAATTTTTTAATGTATATAGATAGATAGATAGATAGATAGATAGATAGATAGATAGATTTTGTTACAATAGTTGTCAGTAAAAATGAATACCCTACCACCCCTTGTTAAAATGACTGGATTTCCCCGTATCCTTAGAAACTAATATTATGAATGTATGTGCTTATAAAACTCAGTAAATTTCAAAATTAATTATTCCAAAATTCTCTTGAAAATGAAACAGGTGTAGAGACTTTAATTTAATTCTATAATTGAATTTAAAGTTTTTAGTTTCCGTTTTTGAAACATGGTAATTCCTGTGTAGCGATGAAATCATATTTTTAAATTAGTAAATTTATAATATTTATGCCCTGTAGATTTGCATTGAGCTGTTTTGTAGAAATAAAAATATTAATAAAAAACACCGGATTATATATGTTACTGTTATTTTGTCTTTTTATAATATATATATATATATATATATATATATATATATATATATATATATATATATATATATATGAGGCGAAATTATATTTCATGTTAGTTAGATTTTGAAGAGTGTAACGTGTTTTTTCAGGTTTTAGGCGTTTTTGTTTTGCATTAATTCTTTTAGAAGTAGTTGTAATAAATTTCATGTGAAGTTTGGATAAAATCTTTTCAATTGTAGTTGTGATAGATTTGATGGATAGAACAAAATATATTTTAATTCTTTGTGTCTGTCAGAATACTCCGCTCTTCTGTTTTGAAATATTTTATGATCCTTTTTGTTCCGCGTTGAATATGAAATAATTATGATATTGGCAGAGCTTAAAAGTATTTTCAATGTATTTCACCTCTTTATATACATACTGAGGGCTACAACTTCTGAGTGCTCTAAAATAAAATCCGATGATTATTCCAGACTTTTGTTATTACGGTAAGAATAGAAATTTATGAGATGATTTTTATTGGTTGATTTGTGGAGGGCACTTAGTTTTAGTTTATTGTTAAAGCGGTGTAACATGATAACGATAAAGTATTGTTTGTTTCCATTTCATAAGTAAATTCCATCGCGTGTTCGACTTTGTTTATTTTATCTACAGGCTCAGGTAAATCACTTTCGCGAGGATATATCAATAGAGCATCATCAGTATATCGGTCTGATGAATGTTTAAGTAAAATATAATACATATATATATATATATATATATATATATATATATATATATATATATATATATATATATATATATATATATATATATATATATATATATATATATATATATATATATATATATAAAAAAAAAGGAAGAACAGTAGGATATGTAATCCGGTGTTCTTATTGATATTTTATTTTTACAAAACAGTGCTCAATGTAAATTTACAGAGCATAAATATTATAAATTAACTGATTTAAATCAGTTAATATATATATATATATATATATGTTATAAATTAACTGATATAAATTAACTGTATATGTGTGTGTGTGTGCTCAATGTAAACTTACAGAGCATAAATATTATAAATTAAGTTATTTAAATCAGTTAATTTATAATATATATATATGTTATGTGTGTGTGTGTGTGTGTGTGTGTGTGTGTGTGTGTGTGTGTGTGTGTGTGTGTGTATATATGTATATATATATATGCTCTGTAAATTTACATTGAGCATACACACACATACAAATATATATATACACACACACACACACACACATACATATATATATATATATATATATATATATATATGGGAGAAACGAGACAAATTTTATTGAATCTCTGCGAAAATCCTTCTGGCATATAAATTATTTTGCTATGGCGATTGTGAACGCTGAGATGAGCTATGAGTCATTTATTTGTTGTACAATATAAAGCCGAGAATCGTTCATATCATAAAAATTCAATCTGAAAAATAAGTAAAGCTAAATAAACTAGAAAGACCCGTGAAAATGTTACGGTTTTCTTATTTGAAATGTCTAATGAATCTTAATTCTTAAGTTAATAATCGGGTAAGCTCATAGCGAGATCTACAACAGTAAAGTATCTGTAGATTTTCCCCTATCGCATCGTTAAAATATTTGGGCTTAATAACTTTAACAAATTATTGCAATGACAATCATAAATATGAATGCTGTTCGTAATTTTTAAGAAGTGGGTAGAAATGAAAATATTTAAAATTAATAACTTTTTCCATTTCTCAAAAACAATCTGTTAAGCACTTCTACGTTTCTTTCTTTCATTTTCTCACTAAACCCAAGTCGTGTCTTTTCCCCTCTTTCCATTCGATCAAAATGGGATAGTCCATTATTCATGTGGTACTGAGGGGTATGCCCGGTCAGTACCACATAAATAATGGACTATCCCGGAGAGTGGGACAAACACAGATATAACTGAATTCTAAAATTTAATTTTCTGACTGTTCAGTGCAGAAGAGCAACTTAAAAGATATAGCGAAGAAAACGGCGAATTACCTCGTCAAACCAATCGACAGCGTGTCACGTGTATCCTACGACAGAAAATGTGACAAAAAGAAAATTATTTACCAGAAAAAAAAGGGGGCACGTATTCTTCATGATATGCTAAAGACGGAATATTTAAATTAGAAACAAGTCAGTCGCAGGAGTCGCCATAAAAGTATTTGGAATATGCTGAAAATGGGCGTCCTCTCCCAGTTGTCGACAAATGGAAAAAATGCTCCGCCGTAGTTGGTGTTCTCGAATCGGGGGAGAATAAAGTAAATTCGTGTATTTTGGCTACCACGTTCGTCGGAGAGTCAGTTATTTTTTCTGACTGGCTATGTGCATTGTGATTTGTGAGATAGTACCTGCGAATCGAGATTTCGGCATTTCTTTCTGCTCCCGATATTCGAGTCTGAACTTACAGTGATTTGTTCTCTGCGTTGTGGAAGTAATCAGCGACAGATATTTCCTTTGCAATCCCAGATCGCTTACAAAAGATTTAGGTATATGATGCCTCCATTGACAGATGTTTCTTCACGGTTAGATCGTTTTAAAACAAAAACATTTACAGTAGAAAAACGAAAACAAATCTGTCAATCCCTTTATTCTACACGTTTTTAATTTCTTCGAAAATTAAACTCGTATACATTCAAAACGTGTCACTTATCCTTCGTTAAAACCAGAAATTCTCAGCATTAACGCCCCCCTTGGGAGCACTAACGCCCCCTTGTGGGGTCACTCTGAATTTTCAAGTGTTGTGGGGCATAATGAGGCATCAACAGAATTAGACTTTTCGCATTTGTGTTTCTTTATCTTTTCTTCTTATTTTTAAGCAATTTTCATGCAAATGTAATATATTGATGGATGCCAAATGGAACGACAATTCAAAGTCAGGGAACATCGATAATCCGGCATGGCAACTATCGCTCGGCTGTTCCCGCCACAACTTACATCCGGTGAATGGCGCCGACGTACGGCAACGAAACGTAAACACGCGACATTAAGTCTGCTTCATTTATCACAGCAATTTTAACATCAGGGCGCCAACCCACACAAATAAATGAAAAATGGTGCCGGGGTAGGAAAGAGCCACTGACTTAAAAACATTGGTACTTTTTCTACGATACAGTATATCTATCTATATATAAAATTATGTGATTTCTGTTAGCCCGTCCATCCATCACACCCTCTGAAATGGCCAAAGATTAACCAATCGAAACCAAATTTGGGGGGAAAATGCAAACAGGTAAGGGGTGGGGGGTATAAAGTACATTTAATTTTACTAGGGTGCATAGCTTAGTACAATAAATTTTCATTACTTTTAGAAAAATTAAAAGTTTTATTATTTAACATACAAGGCACACCCACTATTTTAAAAACAATTTAATGATCGAAATAACAAATATCTATTTAATAAAAATGCAATATTGTTTTTTGTATATCATTTCTTTAAGTTTTCATATACAATAATCCATTTTCCAGTTCGCTCTGCGTTTTCGAGAACTATAAACAAATTATAAACGCTTCAAAAAGTTGGAATTTGCATCCAGAAAAAAAGATTTACGCATGGCCAGTTGTATGTTGCATGCTCAAGAGTAAGAAATCCTAAGAAATTATTATTCGCTGTTAAAAAAAAAGAAAAAGGAAGATTTCTTTAAAAATATTGTTTACCATGATGTCCTATAAAATTGAATTCAGTTAAAGAAATAGTGTTTTTGTCAAAGTATTTTCCCAAACAAATTACCTTATTCAAATTTCATCGACTGGTTTGCAAAATTGGCTGAAACGTGGAGTCAATCTCGACAAATATTTCAGTGGTAACTTCAACAGTACTAAATACTGTGAGGATTTTAACACACGTCAGCGTGTTGCAATGCAATTCTAGTTTTTTTTAATAAATCGTCCCTTAATAACGTAAGCGATCATGGCTCTGTAAACATTTCCTTTTTTTTTTATTATCTGTAAGTTCTCTTTGATATATTGGGAAAGATAGTGAAGTAGTTCTTCGTTGATTTATCTGTGGGTTTTGAATTTAAATTAAACCTTCTCCGAGTCTGGCTGCAACCAAAATCTAGATAGTCTGTTCTGCTATTTAGCCCGTAGCTGGGGGAAGAATAGATCAATTCTTGCCTTTTTCCAATGGCATTTATGAGACAGTAGACGCAACAAGGTAAGCTGGAATTTGAATGCAACTTTCTGATTCCATTTACGGCGCCAATAATCGTTACACTGCCCGCGCATATGGCTGATAGATAAAGACACCAAAAATTACATGCGAACAAAGATGGCTATGACCGAATTACGAAAAGCCAAGTAACTAATTGATTCGAAAATCCCGGTTTATCGACAGATGTGTCTAGAGACAGACTGGATGATTTACGCATGCCAACAACGTATGGCTCCACCTGTTCTCCCTCCTGCTATGGGTTAATTAGTAAGACTTGTATCACTAAAATATTATTATATCGAAAAAATTCTTGCAATCTAAAAATATCTTATGGCTTTAACCATAAAATATTTTTAGATTGCAAGAATTTTTTCGATATAATAATATTTTAGTGATACAAGTCTTACTAATTAACCCATAGCAGGAGGGAGAAGAGGTGAAGCCATACGTTTCCCAAGGATATTCGCGTGCATATAAGTGACTATTACAAACATAACAGGAATTGGAACTCGGCTCTCCGATTAACAATTACAAGCCATTATCCATTACACCACCCTCACATCCAAACTTACAGCACCTGATATTCTCAAGTCATCACCCATCTAGTTACTGACCAGGCTTGACGTTGCTTAACTTCGGTGATTGTAGGGGAACCGGTGTTTCCATGTGTTCGTAAGCAGGAATAAATAGATATGGTAACGGGTCAAAAGTTTCTTAAAGTTGCAAAAGACAGGAAATTGTGAGGAGCTATGTTTGTCCATGTCCCATCGAGACATGGCGTGTAAAAGAATATTAATGATACCAATACAACTTTGATGTTTTTAAACCAAAATCAAATTAATTAGCGCGCGTGTATTCACATGAGGATTTGATTTTCTTTGAAATTTGCATTAAATAATAATTACATCTGCTAATCTCTATGCAGTGTTAGAAACAGAATGACACAAGAGTGCCTTAAGATTTATACTAAGCAGGTTTTGGCCCTAGCTCGAGTGTTCGCGCTTGGGTGCCCCACATCTACGTCGCCGTGGGGAGACGGGTAAATAGCTACTAAACAATCTGATTAATTGATCCAACTCACTAATCAACTGATCGGTGATCGTACGGCGAAAACGGGTGTTTTGGGCCGATCAGATAAAAACCAGAACTTGAACACTGATTTTCAAGGTAGATTCTTGGCAACTAATTTATGTGCCATATCCCTTCAAGACGTAGGCGATCATAGCCCTCCACATCTTCCTGACCTTTGTAGCTCTTAATAAGTTTTGTCGTTATATTTGAATGCAACTTTCTGATTCCATTTATGGCGCCAATAATCGTTACATTGCCCGCGCAAATGGCTGATAGATAAAGACACCAAAAATTACATTTGGACAAAGATGGCTATGACCGAATTACGAAAAGCTAAGTAACTAATTAATTCGAAAATCCCGGTTTATCGACGGATGTGTCTAGAGACAGTCTGGATGATTGATGACGAATCGAAAGAAAGGCGAAGAAATAGCCAAATTCAAAATTAGAGAAGTCAGTAAAATAAAAAGTGTTATATACTAAACCTAAGAACACTAATGGGTATGTCCCAATCCTCCTAAATACGTTGGATACTATTGTAAGTTGGGGTTAATATACTGCCTAAGCTGGCAGCGTGAGCTGTGGGCGTGGGAAGTTCTTGCCGTGTCGAAATCTCTGCCTTTGGACAGAGAGGAACCCGGAATAGGCTATGCCTAAGGGTAGAGTCACGTCCGGGCAGGAAGACAGATACCCGATCCGGTGTATGCAAAACCTACGGTCAATTTTTACCCCAGCCCACGGGCTCAGATTTCCCTATATTAAATTTGGCCTTGTGTCGCATCCTACCTCGTGGGGATGCAGGTAAATATCGAAATATGGTGTCTAAGTAGTCGCCTACTAGCAGTGGTTTACCTACTTCACGCTGCTGGCGAGTATTGTATTTTAGTGATGTTATAAAGATTACCATTTCATTTCCAGCCTCCGTTTTGGTTATTCCTCATTCAGAAACACTTTCTAGGTTACAACAAAAAGAAAAGAAAGAAAGAAAGAAAGAAAGAAAGAAAGAAAGAAAGAAAGGCGGAGAATTAGCCAAATTCAGGATTAGAGAAGTCAGTAAAATAGAGTTGATAGGAACACCAGGATATACGATTAACTAAATCTGAATATTAACTCTGGTCAGTTCGATGGGATCAAGTTGGAAGCTGATCTCAAAAACGACCTACAATCTGTTGTTAACGAAACTGCTCTCTTTCAATCGTCTGAGAGAAACTTTGTTGCTTTCTATTAGGATGGCTGGTGTTAACCTCCAGGCCAGTGACTCGTTTTGCCATCTCAGACTAACGTTTTCCGCTGACACGAAGTGGAAAGATTATCTGTCTATATTCCTTACATGAGGTATTATGTACACTATTTACATTGTTCGGACTATCATCCTCATCTTTGTTGCCATACTTATCACAACGTTTCGGCCGTTGTACGCAAAGCCTTCTTCATTTGGTTAGAAAATGTCGAACTGAACACTTTATTTCGCTCACTGGGCTAAACTGTTCTAGTTCCACGTGCCAAATATCAAGTGGATTGTCAGTTACCAGTTATCTAAAGGTTAATTTGAATTTGGTTTCTCCACAACCTTTACTAGGTATTGAACTCACATATCTTTGGGTCCTTTCCACTTTGCCATGGGTTCTCAAGGAAATCTACAGGACTTTAAAATTACGTTTTTAGATCCAGTGTGGATAAAGTTCAATGCCTGTAAAACTGTTTGGAGAACTTGGAAATCAATTTTATGCACACGATAAAACACATTTGACTTGATTTTAAACAGGGCACAACTTATATCAGTTTTAGTGTTTATAAAACCCAGGTTTTGTTCAATGCCTGTGTTTTATATGTATGTATTTGTATTGTTTTTCGTTAAAATCTTGGCCTAAAAATGGAAAAAAAAGATTTTCAACCGATTTCCTTCCAAAACTTATTTTTATATTGTCTTGAATTTTTATCTGTCTATATTTTTCATCCAACTGACAATAAAATTAAAACATGGAGAATATTGGAGTAAATTAATGATAGGATAACCTGCTGACAAAATTTAGAAAGACTTTATGGAACTAGAATAGTCTACTTTTGAGTTTGAAATAAAAGGTTCAGTTCGAAAAAAAAAACCTGAAGAAGACCGGAACGTATAACGGCCGAAACGCCGTAATAAATATGGCAACAAAGATGAGGATGATAGTCCGAGCAATGTAAATAGTGAGCATATATTGTATCTGTCTATATCCTTTATCCACTGTGCCATGTGTCTTCAAGGATTAAGGCAGTGGAGAACTTGGAGAGGGGAATTAATAGGAGATAACTCATAACTGACATCCATTAGACATGGCACATGGAACTAGAATAGTCTACCCCAGCGAGCGAAATAAAAGGTTCAGTTCGACATTCTAACCACCTGAAGAAGGCCGGAGCGTACAACGGCCGAAACGTTGTGAAAAGTATGGCAACAAAGATGAGGATGATAGTCCGAACAATGTAAATAGTGGAAAGATTATATTGAATCAAATGGTATGTCTCCTGCTAGAAATGTTGGTGCCCTGTGTGTCATGCTAGACAATTATTATCGCCAGAATCTATCTTACATATCTATAAGTCTACCATTCGTCCATGCTTGGAATATTGCTATCACATATGGTTTGGTGATCCTGATATATATTTAGAGATCCTTATTAAAATCCAAAGAAGTATCTGCAATGTTATTGGTCTTGATCTGGCAGCACGTTTTCAGTCCCTTTCCCACCGCCATAACCTAGCTTTTCTGGGTCTTTTCTATAAATACTTTTATGGTAATTGTTCTGATGAACTTTTCTGTATGGTACGTAGACTTATCAATTTAAGCGCAGGGTCTCATCATTTTACATTTGAAATGGCTATATATATATATATATATATATATATATATATGCGTAAATTCTAACAGTTTCTTCTATCACACTTCTCACTTGTGGAACTCTCTTCCGGCTTCTTGCATTCCAGTCAACTTTGATCTTCAAAAATTTAAATGCAATGTCATTCGTTATGTTATGTCTATTCTTTTATTGTTCTCGCTCCTTAATAATTTTTTTAATATTCTCTAACACTCGGTAATCCCTTGTGTCTTAGTTGTTTTATCGCCTTGTTTGAAGTGAAATGATTTTAAAAAATATTCATACATAAAAGTAAAAATAATGAACAACGTAAGAATGATAGTGAAAGTGAAAGTTAAAATACAAAAAATGTTGGGAGAAAAATGAAAGAAAGAATATAGAGCTCCGAGAAAGTAAGAGAGAAACAATAAAAAAAACATTTATTTTTAATCAAGGATCAGAAATTTCAACCTCTGTCCCTCTTTCCTTCAATCTGTCCTGTGAGTATCAAATTTTCCAAGCTCTTCTTCCTCATTGCGTGACCCAGAAATTTCAACTGTCTCTTCCTGATGTTAAGTATAAATCTCCTTTTTGTTTCCATTCTCTCCAAAACCCCGTCGTTTCTCACATATTCGGTCCGCGTTATCCTCAGTATCTTTCTGTAGAACAACATTTCTGTTGCTTCAAGTCTTTTCTTCATCATTCGCTGCCGTACAGGAGGATAGATATCACATAACAGTTCAGTAGCCTTTTGTTTGTTTCCAACGACATTTTTCGAACTTCTTAAAATATATTTTACCGTAACAAATTCAAAATAAACCGTACACGCAATATGATGCTCGGTAAATAAAAAAAAAAACTCAAAAGAAGAGGTGAGGAATTGTGAAATTAAGGAAAATGCGGGAGGGTGGGGGGGCGAAGGTGAGAGATACCGGCTTGATAGCGTTTTGGAATTACGAACCGCTAAGCGAAATGAGAGGATCGGGGGGAAGGGATTTGAATGAAAGGTTGGGTCTTGGTGCGGGAAGGTGGAAGAGGTTTGGGAATATTAGGGTTCAATTACTTGAAAGGCACTTCCTGGCGCATGGCAGTAACCGCCCCTGCACCCACCAATACATACTGCAATTCCCTTTCACCACGACCTCCTGGAACCAACCCGACCATTTATTCCCGTCGTTACAGATAATGACGGAAGAACCTTAAAGACAACAGTTGGCAGGAGAACCACTTCGATAAAATGAGCAAATCAGTTGCAGACGGTTCGGAACTTAGAATCGAAATAACAGGAAAGGAGCGTAGCAGACTAGAGTTGATATTAGTCACGACCCCATTAATGAGGGGGGGTCTTGTTGTTATTTACTAAGGTTAGCTGAGTCCTGGCACAAAGTCAAGAGTATAGAATCTTCTAGTGAGAATTGAACTCATTTCTCTTATCCCTTCAGGACATGGGATATAATGGCTCTCCACAACTTCCTATCCTTTTTTAGGTTTGTCTTTTAACCATCACTACCACTCCCCGTTCTGCCATCCATTCTAACAAGATCATCAGGTCGGTAGCTCCCTAGTACCCTATTTACATTATTCGGACTATTGTCCTCATCTTTGTCGCTATATTTATTACAATGTTTCGGTCGTTATACGCTCCAGCCTTCTTCAGGTGGTTGGAATGTAGAACTGAATCCTTGATTTCGCTCACTGAGTTCGCTCACTGCTCTAGTTCGACAAAGATGAGGACAATAATCAAAATAAAGTAAATAGTGTACATTATACCTCATCTCAGAAATATAGACAGATACTGTAGGGCCGAAACGTTGTAATAAATATGGCGATAAAGATGAGGACAATAGTCTGAATAATGTAAATAGTGTATATAATACCTCATCTCAGAAATATAGACAGATACTAAAAGGCCGAAACGTTGTAATAAATATGGCGACAAAGATGAGGACAATAGTCCGAATAATGTAAATAGTGTACATAATACCTCATCTCAGAAATATAGACAGATACTGAAGGGCCGAAACGTTGTAATAAATATGGCGACAAAGATGAGGACAATAGTCCTAATAATGTAAATAGTGTACATAATACCTCATCTCAGAAATATAGACAGATACTGAAGGGCCGAAACGTTGTAATAAATATGGCAAAAAAGAAAAGGACACTAGTCTGAATAATGTAAATAGTGAACATAATACCTCATCTCAGAAATATAGACAGATACTGAAAGGCCTAAACGTTGTAATAAATATGGCAATAAAAATGAGGACAATAGTCCGAATAATGTAAGTAGTGAACATAATACGTCATCTCAGAAATATAGACAGGTCCATTTTGCCCTTTGCTATATCCTGTCACTGTCAAATTTTCCGAGCCTTCCTTTCAAATTATGTAACTCAGCTGTCTCTTTTTGATGGCAAGTGTAAGTACCACTTTGTTTCCTTAAAACTTCCTCGTTGCTTATACGCGCTGTTCATGGTATTCTCAGCAGCCTTCTGTAGAACTACGCTTCTGTTGTCACAAATCTTCTCTTCATATGTGAGAGAAGTATTCATCATTCACTACCATACAGAAGAGCAGTCAAGCACTCTTTTCTTGGTTCCTGACGAAATTTTCTTGTTTCTTAGTACTTTGCTTAGAATTTGGAAGCCATCACCTGCTATAGCAAAACCCCTTCGGATTTCGGTGTCACATTTTGCATCCTCTGTTAAAACACTTCCGTGATATTTAAACTTTAATTAAACTCACTACTCAGTAATAATTGTCAACCAGTCTAGCCTCCCTTGGCTTTATCCAACACACGCCCAGAATTTTACTAGGGATTTGCGTGTTGTGGATCAAATTGGTAAGCTAATTTCGTATTAACGCCCTTATGAAAAGGGTGAACTCCTTCTATTCTATCTCTTTTCCCCAGCTATCGGTTAAAAAGCGGGTTCTCTCTCGGTCTGGATGGCAGCCAGTCTAAGGGAAGGAAAACACTATGGATTCAACACCGTTGAGAAAGCAATACTTTCTCAAGAAGTCATGACAATAGATAAAAAGAAAAAGAAGCTGTGAAGGACCATGATTACCTATATTGCGAGGGAGTACGGCATAAAAAGGGTTTCAAGTAGAAGTATAAATAAAACTTTCAAGATTTTTTTTTTAATATAACTTTTTTGTAGGGGAATAGAATGAAAGTGTCTTCTTATTTTATATACGATAATCCTCTCATCCGCGGTTTAATTTCTGTAGTTTCAATTATTCGCGTGAGCCAAATAATTTATATACACAGTAGAATTTATAAATATGTTATTAAAAAAAGGTTATGTAGATGTATCAGATTACAATTTTGGCTTAATAAATTTATATAACAAATGCGAATGTAAGTGTGTCACTGTGTCGCACTTTTTCAATTAAGAGGACACGACTCTCTAACTTTCTCTTATAGTGGAACACACCTTTTCTATAGTTAATAGACCCTCCCACCTATAATAAGTAGGAGTAGTAAGAGTAACGAGTAAGTCGCTCAGTGAGTTGGTCAGTCAGTCGATGCCGGACGACCGTTAGTCGGATACTAAAGTACCAGCGACCACGACTAGATTTACTCTGCATCATACCTATTATATGAAGTTCCTAACGTTTTGTACGTCGAACCTATTTTAGAACCGACTTAGTACAAATACAAGCCTCCACTGTGAAATCACTCCATAACACTTTCAATAGCTCATCTTGTAATTCTATATAATTAATGTGAATGTCAGTGTGTTATACTTTTTTCAACTTTACTCCTAGAGGTCGTAGACCAACATATTATACCACTTTGGAATTAAGCCAACCCCGTGAGCAAATTAAAAACATTCCGGGCCGGATTCAGACCCGCAATTCTGAAATTTTGGTTTTCATTACTGCGATATTTTTCGGCGATTTTTGTACGTGATTTTTTACGACGGACTGTGGGAAAGTGATATACCGTACCTATGGACGATAATAGGTATGTCCCAATTCCTATAAATACAGTGGTATATACTGTATGTTGACTTCCACTTGGGATTCACTTCCAAGTGTCCTGGTCAAACTCTCTGTCCCAGACGAGGCTATGCCGAAGGGCAGAGTCTCGTTTGGGGTGGTAAACAGCTACCCGACCCCGTGTATACGAGGTCTATGGGGAATTTTTGCCCGAGCTAACGAGTTCGGTTTTGCCCCGCATTAAAAATTGGCCTTGTGCCACATCCTGCCTCGCGGGGAGGTCGGGTAAATACCTTTCCACTTGGGATTCACTTTCAAGTGTGCTGGTCAAACTCTCTACCTCCGGGCAAAGAGTATCCCCAGACGAGGCTATGTCGAAGGGCAACAGCTACCCGACCCCGTTTTTTTACGGGGTCTACGGGGAATTTTGGGCCGAGGCTACGGGCTCGGATACCACCGCAACCTGGCCTTGTGCCACATCTGACCACGAGGGACTCACTTTGATTCACTTCTACCTCACCACTAGCAATTGATTACTTACTACATGCCAATGGCGAATCTTGTATGTTGTTCTTGTTATAAATATCATTGTTCCATTTCCGACCTTCGTCTTGATTCTTCTTATTCAATAATCTTTTTCTAGGTTACAACATATTGGATGTCATCCTCGTCGTTAAAATCTTGTAATCTAGGAAAAGGTCAGATGTGGAACAAGGCTGAGTTTTATTGTGTAATTTTTTTGTTTTTGTTATCTCTCCTAAACACTGTCCTGCCATCCATTTAATCAAGCTCATTAAGTAGGTTATACACTGTTTTCCTCTTTCCCTCTTGCTTTCAATTTCTCCTGCCCTCATTCTCCATTATGTGCTCTGGAAATTTCAACCAATCTTTCTGACCCTAAGTATCTTTTTTCTTTTTATTTTCCTTAAAACTTCTTCATTATTAAGTTCATGGTATTCACAGTTACCTTCTGTAGAACGATATTTCTGTTGCCACAAGTCTCTTCTTCATATGTAAGTGCTAAACTGTACGTATGGATAATAATGGGTGTGTCCCAATTCCTATAAATACAGTTGTATATACTGTATGTTGTCTTCCACTTGGGATTCACTTCCAAGTGTGTTGGTCAAACTCTCTGCCTCCGAGCAGAGAGGACCCCCTTACGAGGCTATGTCGAAGGGCAGAGTCTCATCTAGGGTAACAGCTACCCGACCCTGTTTTTTTTTACGAGGTCTACAGGGAAATTTTGGCCAAGCCTACGTGCTCGGGTACCCCACAATAAAACTCGGGCTTGTGCCACATCTGACCGTGTGGGGCGGTTAGTGAATATCGTCAGTTGGATTCACTGAGGTTTCACTTGCGATTCCCCTTGATTCAATTCTAGCTCACCACAAGCAGTTGAATACTTACTACACGCCAATGGTGAATCTTGTATGTTGTTCCTGTTATAAATATTATCGTTCCATTTCCGACCTTCGTTTTAGTTATTCTTATTCAATAATCTTTTCCTTGGTTACAACAGCAAGTGTTCAAGTCATTCACAAAAATAAACCTAATAACAAAAACACGTATGCGCTTCATATCTGCCAATTTTGTGCCAGAGGTTTTAAAAAGTTTGTCCGGTTTAAAGAACGTTATCCGTTCAAAGGACAACCAACTTTTACAAGGATATCTTGTGATGGTCATGCTCGACAACGAGGTGGCTGTCTTTACTATGGACACTCACTGGATTTAATACCCCTCAATCCGGTACACTATCAATTACTCCACTGTTCTTCCAATATAGGGTACGCACCCAGAATGTGATATTCGGGCAATCTATTGTTGTCTCACTCACGGCTCAGTCACTGACGTAATGATCTCAACTCGAATTCGAACTCAGCTCTCCGATTCCCCAATCCGAGCCGCGATACATTTCTCCGCCGTGCTTACAATATAAGGTACGCACCCACAAAGTGAATTTTGGGCAATCTATTGCTGAATCACTCGCCGCTCAGTCACCTTCGGTCAGGCGGTACATGCTCAAGATTTTTGTGGACAACCTTTCAGAGTAAAACTACGCTTATAACCGTTAATTAATGTATGCCAAATTCCGAATCAATAAAATTAGTCATCAGGTAATGATGAAACACGATAATGAAGGAATTAATTAATAACGTTATTTTATGCAAGAAGTCAATGAAAAGAATTCGTTATCTTTAGTAGATAATTGCACTGTTTTTTTTTCTCTATACAATCACTCAAAAAACTTCTTTTATATAGCAGCTCCTTTTAGAATGTGAGTGATCATGGCTCTCCATAATTTCCGGTCATTGTTACTCTAACTCCTATTTATTTATTCCCCATCTTTATCTTTATGTAATTGTTCTGCCATTTAAACTCATCAAATAAATTACTGACTGTTGTCCTGGATTCTCTTGCCTTTCAATAAGCCTCGTCAGTTTTAAACTCTCCAGGACTTCTTTCCTCATGATGTGTGCTCGAAATTCCAACTCTGTCTTTCCGACTGTTAGCCGCAATTTCCTTATATTTTCTAATCCATCTGAAAATTGCTTGTTATTCACATACTCCGTCCATGATATTCTAAGAAATCTCCAGCAGAATAATATTTCTTTCATTTCAAATCTCTTCTTCATCTGAAAGATTATACAGCATCGGAGTTTAAATATTATACATATATATATGCATAAAGATTATACATATATCGGAGTTTAAATATTACGTAGCAGTCCAGCACCGATTTTCTTGTTTCTAAAGACATTTTCTATCCCTTAATGTTTTGCTTCGTTTCTGAAAGGTATCTTTCGCTATCAGATTTTAGTACCTTCCTTTCCGTCTATTACTATAGTGCTTTCTTTCTTGCTTTCTTATTCCCTCTCTCTCAATATTCTTTCTTTCTTTCTTTCTTTCACGTCATTTTTTAGAAGAAACTCTCAATTTAGACCTGTTGTTATTAATGGCAATGTTTAATTAAAAAAACGGATAGCAACTGAAACGTATATATACAGGGAGGGGTCCAAAAGTAGGTGGACTGTATGTGGAATAGGTTTATGTATCGGTTATATTATTATAACTGAGTATCTTGATGAAACATTTCCTGAGAAATGGATTGGCCGAAGAGGTCCAATTGATTGGCCGGGACGTTTACCATGGATTTCTTCTTTTGGGGAGTACTCAAGGACAAAGTTTATAGTCGAAAACCAAGAAATGTCGGTGATTTGAAAAATTACATAAGAGATGCATTTCAAGAAATTAATACCCAAAAAGACTTGAGCAAAAAATTTGTCGAAGCGTCAGAAGTAGACTTCAAAGCTGTGTAAATGGTGATGGAAAACATTTTGAGCACCTGCGTTGATAAAATTTAAGGGCTTTTGTATTATTGTTCACAATAAAATTTAAGGGCTTTTGTATTATTGTCCACAATAAAATTTAAGGGCTTTTGTATTATTGTTCACAATAAAATTTAAGGGTTTTTGTATTATTGTCCACAATAAAATTTAAGGGCTTTTGTATTATTGTTCACAAAATTTAATTGTCAATGTAATAATTGTGTTAGTAAATATAATTGTATTTTATGTAATCTCAAAATAGATGTAATTATTTGCTGTCCACCTACTTTTGGACCACCCTATACATACATACACACACACACACATCTCTCTCTCTCTTTTTTATATATATATATATATATATATATATATATATATATATATATATATATATTTGAAAAGTGTTATTAATAACGGATACAAACTTGTGGAGCGTGCAGTCATAACGCTAACGTTGAATTTTGGAAAATTTAAATGAGCGCGTTTTTTACTAATATGCCAGTTTTAGAATTTTTTTTTTTTTTCTTATAGGAGTTTATCAGTTAATGTGGCATGAACTAAATAGTTCAATAAGTAATGTCTCAGTTTTTTATATATATATATATATATATATATATATATATATATATATATATATATATATATATATACAGAGTGTCCATAAAGTTCGTGTGCACATGAAAAAATTTATAACTTCATTTGTATTTGCGATAGAAATAATCAGTAATAAAATGTTATAAAGTTTAATGTACCTAGTTTTAAGTATAACTAAAATAACTCATGTGATTTCAGGTCTGTAAGCCTAAAATATATGTCCGCTACGTAGACGATATTTTCATTTTATATAATAAAGAAATAGAATAATAAAAGAAATCCACATGTAAAAAAAAGATTAAAAATAATGGAAGCCTTGATAATAAAAAATCTCTACTTTCCCCCGATATCTTACTAACAATAAAAAAAAATAGACATTCCCACCACAATCAAATAATAAAATCAAGATCAATCATAAGATTCTACCTCAGAGCCCTTAGGATATGTAACTTAGAATACCTAAGTGAATAAGAGAAATACATTGATAAAACATTCAGAATTCTTTACTACCTACATGATTTCATCCACAACGCTAAAAAAAAAACGAGTTTACAAAACCCACAAAGCCAAAAAACTAGACACCACCAAAAGCACTTCTAACAAAAATAAAGTTCATAATCCTCCAACATTCTTTCTACTAAAAATAAATTAGTTATCCCTAACAACTAGTATCTTTTACCCCATCCAAGACAATCAGGAATATAATTAAAAAGAAAAATAAATCCAACAGTAATTCAAAAGCCTGTATTTACCAACTAAATTGTTTGCAATACGAAAAAGTTTATGTAGGAGAGACATCACGTGATCTAAAAACACGTATCTGAGAACACAAAAGAGATACACATTTAGACAACCATTCAAACTCTCTCGTAATACACAGAAACAAAACTGGCCATAACTTTGATTTTAGTAATGCCAGCCTAATTAAAAAAAGAACTTAATTCTTTACCTAGAAAGTACATTAAGAGCTTAATAATAACAATATTACCAACAATAAACACACGTCAAAAACATTATATTACATCGCCAACGTTTATTGAATCCTATCTTAAAGATTCTAAAGTATGTTTATCTAAAACAAACGGTATCTACGTAACAAACATTCCCAAATCAACATACGAGAAACCAAAAAACAAAATGCCTACTAGACACATGTACACACATATGCACTTACTAATATACATTGCTATCTGATGCCCTCATAGACAAACTAGAATTTTTATACACTTAAATACATATAGCAATATTTACGGTTTTTCAAGTAGGCTTGGAATCTGTCAATTTCTTGAAAATTCGGATGGAAACGTCGTCTTTCATTGAATTTGGAACGCCGCCACTTATACTAACGCTGGTTTAAAAGAGTCGAATGCATGCGATACAGTATTGACCAATGAAAATCAAATAGCACAAAATTCAAAATACCAGAGTTTCTTTATTTTTATTTCAGTCTCTGACGAAGCTTTGATAAAAATGAAACATAGACTGATAAATGTTTCTTATTTATTCTTATTATCACAGATAGATAGATAGATAGATAGATAGATAGATAGATAGATAGAACACGCAAAGATAGATACATCGAAAGATAGACTGACGCGGAACACACATAGATAGATAGATAGATAGATAGATAGAGAGATAGATAGATAGATAGATAGATAGATAGATGTGAACAGTGTAGAGATAGATAGATAGATAGATAGATAGATAGATAGATAGATAGATAGATACAGAACACACATAGATAGATAGATAGATAGATAGATAGATAGATAGATAGATGTTTCGTATTTATTCTTTATCTTATCATAGATAGGACACACTAATATAGATAGAAAGACAAAAATAGTCCGAGATAGATAGATAGATAGATATAGAACACAAAGATAGATAAATAGATAAAACACGCTTAGACAGATAAAACACACTTAGATATATCGATAGACAGACACAGAACACACTTAGATAGATAGATAGATAGAATACACTAAGATAGATAGAGAGATAGATAGAACACACTAAGATAGATAGATAAATAAATAGATAGATAGATCACACTAAGATAGTGTGATCTATCTTAGATAGATAGATAGATAGATAGATAGATAGATAGATAGATAGATAGATCACCATAAGATAGATATGAACAGGTTTACATTATATGCTCGTGTATAAGCCGACTTCATATATAATGTAACCGCCTGAATTATTTTCGTGTGAATTTTAACCTCTCTAGAAAACATTTACCGAAAATGTATAATTTTAAAAAATTACCTGTGTATAATGCGACGCCCTATTTTGTGCGTAAAAAACTGAACATGAAAACACGCCCTCTACTCGGGTATGTGCGGTAGACAGATAGATGAATATGAATAGAGATAGATAGATCGATTTTCAGATAAATAGATAGATGTTACCACCTGCATCCTTCTTGCTCACCAACGATTTTAATACAGATCAGATGCAATCTTTGTCATACGCGAGCACACACACACACACACGCGCGTGCGGGCGCACACACGCATGCGATCGCACGCTCGCGCGTTCCCACGTACACACGTACACACATTCTTTCTACACTTTTTAAACGAATTTTTATATATTTATTTACTTCTGCTCTTATTGAAATTCCACCGCATATTTTTTTTTTTAAACTTTTACGTTGACGATTTCTCAAAGATCGTTCACACTGTCAACAGTTTCGTTCTTTTATGGAACTCGCCTTCTCTACGACAGACGAAAGAATATTCTCGTCGTATCAATGGTAATTAGCGACTGGAACTTGGCACGTGAAATACACTCCAAAATTCTTCTACATATTCGTTCTTTTTTTCTTTTCTTTTTTTTTTTTTGTTGCTTGTTTGTTTTGTTTTGTTTTTTGGTTTTTTGTTTTGTTTTTCTTTTTGTCAACGGAGTCTTGTTTGATTTTCTTTGCAATATCTTCTGTCATGGCTAACAACGCGTTAACTGCAGACTTCTTTCCATTTCATCTCTTCCTTAGCTTCTACAGAAAGACGTTACTGATATTGTTATACTCTGGATAGATAGATAGATAGATAGATAGATAGATAGATAGATAGATAGATAGATAGATAGATAGATAGATAGATAGATAGATAGATAGATAGCGATTAAATGAGATAGGAAAAGCCTGAGATGAGATGAGATGAGATAGATAGATAGATAGATAGATAGATAGATAGATAGATAGATAGAACACGCAAAGATAGATAGATAGATAGCGATTAACTGAGATAGGAAAAGCCTGAGATGAGATGAGATAGATAGATAGATAGATAGATAGAATACGCAAAGATAGATAGATAGATAGATAGATAGATAGATAATAGATAGATAGATAGATAGATAGATAGATGGCGATTAACTGAGATAGGAAAAGCCTGAGATGAGATGAGATGAGATAGATAGATAGATAGATAGAGATAGATAGATAGATAGATAGATAGCGATTAAATGAGATAGGAAAAGCCTGAGATGAGATGAGATGAGATAGATAGATAGATAGATAGATAGATAGATAGATAGATAGATAGAACACACAAAGATAGATAGATAGATAGATAGATAGATAGATAGTGATTAACTGCGATAGGAAAAGACTGAGATGAGATGAGAATAGATAGATAGATATTAAAGAGACATAGATTGGTTTGATTGTTTTTGTTTATTAACTTTACAATTAATTAAATAAAATATTATTTTATGTTTAAATTATAATTACTTAGCTGCATTTTATTTTACCAAATAATTATACAAAATCAAACGAGAAGTAAAAATTGGTTTCTCCTTACAAGTAATGTACACCATGTCTTCAATCTCCTATAAAATGTATTGATTATTGCTTGGTTGATTTTCTTTAGCGGCATCTAAACACCTCTGTGGGTTAATTAATGCCGAAATCTAAATATTTTGAACACAATTTTATAGCTTCAACTGAATGCATTTTGAAATCAATTGTATGCATCAACTACAGATAAGAGGTATTATTGGTCATTTTGCCATCAAACATAGTGATAGTAATTTTACTATAAATTTATATTGTTGGTAATTTTTTATGTAAAAAAGTATTTTTATACTTTCCTTGTGTGTTGTTTTTTTTAGGGGTTCACTATGTACCCATAGCTGGGACCCTAACAGGTGCTACTACTCCGGGTCAGCATGGGCCTGGGAACAACAGTAATTAAGAGGTAGTTTCACTCTCCTCAAAACCTCAAATCTTTTGATCAGAAACCTTGCTGCCGGACGTAGTTTATCGTCATACCCAGGACTAGTACTGATTGTCATTTTGCTATAAAAATGTATTATTGATCATTTTATTATAAATTATATTGTTGGTAATTCAACTATAAAATGTATTGCTGGTAATCTCTATTTATAAAAGGCAGGATGTGTGTGTGTGTGTGTGTGTGTGTGTGTGTGTGTGTGTGTGTGTGTGTGTGTGTGTGTGTAACGAATGCACGGCCGCAATATTCGACGGATTTGCACTAAAATTTACATGGACATGCTCCAAGTTAGCGGGAAGGCCAAGACTGACTTTGCATTTCCCAACTCCCATCGATAGTGGAAATAATCTTTTTTTTTCATGCTTCTACATCAATTTTCATGAAGTTTGCGGCCATTTTCTGTTTAATACACAGTGAGATTCTATAGCTGGCTGCCACGAAAAGGCAGGGAAGATTCTACTGGCCAGAGTTGAGAGCCTATAATTTGGCTGCCACAAATAGGCAAAAAGTCGATTTGGCCATTTTTTTCTATTGGCCAACAGCTGATTGACACGAATGTTAACTAGCATGCTAGCATAAAAAAAAATCGATAGCTGCATTCGTCACAAGTGGGAAAAATTTAAATCTGCATGGCACTTTACTCCAATTGGCTCATTCGCTTGCTTAAACTCAACGTTGATTCTGATTCCGTAGAACTAGGTTGGGTGTAAAAAATTATTTGTTGTTAATATTCTTTTTTCATTCGGTTTTTCCAGTTACGAGTCCTTTTTTAAAGCTGATCGTTTTGTGTTCATGATAGATAGATAGATAGATAGATAGATAGATAGATAGATAGATAGATAGATAGAAAAATAATATTTATAACAAGAAATAGATAGATAGATAGATAGATAGATAGATATAGTTATAAAAAGAACGAGATAGATAGATAGATAGATAGATAGATAGATAGATAGATAGATAGGCGTTGACTGAGATGGGAAGAGATTTTTCTTTCTCCTTGGCTGTTTTTTTTTTCTAATATTAAATAGCCAATTTCTGCTCTATTATTTACGGGTTTTTATATTCAGAGTTTTCCTTCTTCTCGACTGGGTGCCACTCAAGTCAAGAGATACCAGTTTGCTGTACTATTTTACCCATAACTGGAAGGAAATGCATCCATGCCTTTCCCAGTAACATTACTGCGAGGTGAATGTAACAGCCTCTTTCCGCACCTATAACAGTTACAGTACCCGCACATCTTAAGCAATTTCTTCAGATTACAATAATTAGCCCTGATATATCCCATGTTGTTGTTATTTAATGAAAAGGACAAGTGTATTTTAACACATAATAAAACGATTTTTATTCGTTTACTGCCTGAGAACAGCAAGCATGGTCTGGAGAGCACTCAAAATGAATATCAAACATGGAGAAACCCAGGAGTACAAACGAAGAATCAAATCGACTAAATAAAGATCAATAAGAGATTTAGGAATGTAGTTTTAGACTATAAAACATAGCCAAGTTCCGACTTCGGGAGCGATCGCATTCCAGTAATATGTAATCTTAGAGTGAAACTAAAAAATTGAAGAGGCCCAAAGTAGCACAATACGACAGACTCATGGATGAACCGAATGTAAAGAAGCGGAATACTGACAGCGTTAAATGCAGATAGAATAAACTAGATGAGAAGGAAAATTCGAAGCCGGGTATATTTAAAAAAAAAAAGCTTTAGGAACATGAAATCAGAAAGGAAACTAGACAAGGAAAAAAAAGGAATGAATGATATGAAATTCATGACATGATGAAAATGAGACAGTAAACAATACCAAGATACGGCACGGAATTAGGAAAAAATGTTGGCAGTTAAAAGAGAGATGGGGAATGATTTAACGAAAAGTGTGCAGTAATGGGTCATACAGATAAAGTATATATGCATAGAAGAACAAAAAACTAACAAAACAAAAGACAGAATGCATGAATCTAAGGACTGATAATAGACAAAGAAAAATAATTCAGTGTCTTATTTTCAGCCGAGAGTAGATATTAGAATGAATTTTTTTATTAATAAAAATAAAATTCTCTGTTTACGTTTGGATACAAAACAGATATGAAAAATTTCGGGAGACTTATTTTGCTTAAAGGCACAAATTTGGCCTTACCTGAACGCTTTTACTCCATAGCACAGTTGGTTAGAGCGTAGGGTTCAAATCCTGCCGGAGAGGGCAAGTTTTTCTTTAATAAATTTTCTCGAATATTCAAGACGGTAGACGAAAGTACATAAATATATTGTTTAATAAATAAATGGAACGCCTACACAAGTACGAGTATCTACTAATAATATATATTTTTTATATATATATATATATATATATATATATATATATATATATATATATATATATATATATATATATATATATATATAAATATATAAATATTTAAAAAAAACAGACCACTTTAAGGTACCATTATAATAATTTATTTCACCAGATCCTTTTAAAAGACGCCGGATCATCAGAGAGCACTTCCAAAAATGAAATGAAACGAAAAATGAATTGAAAATTGATGGGTAGTGTAAGTTTTGTAATTTAACAGAGAATGTAAAGGGGTAGTTAAAAGAGACATGGTAGAGTATAGGGAGGATTAATTTCATATCTCTCTCAAGTATACTTTGTATTGGGGAGGTTTGACCAGACCATGACCTATTTAGACGGTTAACTTAACGGAAGTGATATATTGAAATGGGATGGGATAAAAAAAAAGAAAAAGAAAAAGAAAGAAAGGGATGGAAGTAAAGAAAAAAGACTGTAATTGGGTTTTAGCTATTTATGTAAAGAATAGATTTTAAATGACTTGATAGTAATTTAGATGTCTAAAAAACCTGAATAAATTAATTTGATATGTTTGCTATCAATTTAAACATTTAATTTTTTTTAAACAAATAGTTTAGGGATTTAATATAAGTTAAATACTATATTTATTAACACATTTATAGAGAACATATAAAAAAAAATATATTTTAAATTATAACAGTTTGTTTATATATATATATATATATATATATATATATATATATATATATATATATAAGTTACGAAGAATGGTAAACCGAATGGGTAATTTCAAGGAGGATGAAATCCTGATAATCAATGAGAGCCAAATTTACCCCTCTCTATAATCTACCTTGTCTCTTTAACTACAACTATCACCCTCCCTGTTAAATTACAAAAATTACACTACCCATCAATTTCTAATCCCATTTTTCCTTTCATTTCGTTATTGGAAGTGTTTACCTGATGATCCGGAGTCCTTCAAAAAGGATTTTGGTGAAATAAATTATTGTAATGGTACCTTAAAGTGGTCTGTTTTTTCATTAATATATATATATATATATATATATATATATATCGAAACAAGTTTTATTAAATTCCACCGACAAGTTCTGCCTATTGAATCTTTTTATTATATCTTTCTATTTTTCTATCTTTCTATCGGGATTAAAGTTATTTTAGATTGCTGGAATTAGAAGTGAAATTTCAATTCTTCATAGCGAGTAAATACAGGGTGTGATGGGTAAATTGTCATCATTTCATATTTTTAATTTCGCGCATGCGCGTTGTTTTTTATTTTATCGACTGCACAGTATAATAGGGTCAGCTGTCTATGAGAAAAAGAGCAACATGACGCAATTCACTCCACCAAAAAGTTGACAACTACATACTGTACAGCTTGGCATTCGCGCCGAAAGCTCCAATACGAACACTGAGGTGTGTTTGTGTGTCAATCTGTTGACAGTGCAGAGGATGCGGAAAAGGGTTGGATGTGTCTAATGGTGATTACGAAAGTGTTCGGAGTTATCACTAGTGATGGCGACGTTATGCCTCCATTCATCTTCCCAGAGGTCCTGAGACTCAACACGGAGGCCTATATCAAGTGTCTTGAGGAACTGCCCTGAGTCAAAGTGATGGCTTCTGGAAAAACCATAGATCTGGCAACAGGAGTCTGCACCATGCCACCCAAGTAGAAGAACCCAGTTATGGCTGTCAGACAATTTCCATACATCATCCCATACATCTGGCAACCTAACTCCCCAGACTACAACTCCATTGATTATTATTTCTGGGGCGCAGTTGACAGAGAGAGAGACCAACAAAACTCCTTGTAACACCAAAGATGAACTGAAGGCAAGGATTATGGCAGTATTCAGCAACTTAAACAAGGAGACCGTCCAGAAGAGTTGCAGAAGATTCCGAAGTTGTCGAGAGGCTGTGGTTGAAACTAATGGCAATTTTATTGAATAAATTTACACTTTAGTATTTCATGATACTTTTGTGTAATTTTGGTACATACACCCGTTAAAATGAGATATCAGTGTTATTTTGATTTTGGCATCATTTAGACGACAGTTTATTCATCGCACCCCTGTATGTCTGTTAAAATGAGATGTCAGTGTTATTTTCATTTTTTAGCGTCTTTTAGACGACAATTTATCCATCGCACCCTCTATATCATTTATGAAATGTCAGTGTAATTTTCAATTTTGGCGTCATTTAGACGACAATTTATCCATCGCACACTGCATATTCTGTCAAAATGAGATATCAGTGTAATTTTCAATTTTGGCGTCATTTAGACGACAATTTATCCATCGCACATAAATACATGTCAAAAAGATATCAGTGTCTGACTGGCGTCATTTCGTCATTTATCCAAAGACGTTCTATATAAACAAAAACTGACAGAAGACATTTTACGTAAAGACGTTTTTTTAAAAAAAACGCGCCAGTGCAAAAATAATGTTTGTGCAAAAATAATGACGTAATAATTCGTTTTTTGATGTATGTTTTAACGTCAAAAAACGACATTATTACGTCATTATTTTTGCACCAACTTAATACTTATACATTGTATGTAAAAGAAATCAGGGTTAGTATATAGATTTGTGGAAGAACACATCATCCGTATTGCTCTAATAGAGAACAGCAAGGATGTGGAAAATGTACCGGATAACTAAATAAAGAAAATGTTTTCCCGAATAGACATATCAGTTAGCATGGTCACATTCAGGGCAAAGTAGCTCAATGCCTTCCTTTTGGACCACAGATGTTGAGGCTACCCCGTATCCTCCTCTCTGCGAGGTGAATTTATTTTTGAAGTTACTTTCTTAGGCTAGTGTGAATTCAGAGTTTCCTTTTCCTAGACTGGCCGCCACTTAATCTGTCTTGTTATTTAACCTATTGCTGGGGGAAATAGATGGATTAATACTTTTTTCCAAGGTTATTAGCACGTAAGTGTATGCAATGAATTTAACTCGGTTCTACAATTCCTCAATCCGAGCCGCTAACCATTACTACACCGGGTTTCCATAATAGATATAGACTCCGCTTATTTTCTAAAAAAAGTCCATAAAAAGATGGAATCCAAAGAAGTTCTGAAAAGTTCTCAGGCCCACGGAAGAGAAATTAAGCTAGACAAAACTGACACATCGTTTCTTGAGTTTTCTTAAACCTTCTAAAACAAAACTGTGGTATTTTGTCCCTAAAATATTGTTCTGCTTCAGTTTTTACATTTAGGGACGTTCAGAAAATGTCTCCGTTTCAAAGTATTTTAAGGCCTCGAGGTGAGGTTCGTTATTTCACATTCATATGTGCTGGCAAGACAGAAGCATCTGCTTAGGATGTTTAAATTTGTGCTGCTGGTAAAAAAATTGGATGAGTAAATTTATTCTTTTAATTAAAACAATTTTTTCCGAGTGTTGTTTTTAAATATGGAAATACTTACCTCTTTGATAACTAAGCCTTAGGAATTTAAGTGCGATACTAAACTGACAGCAAGGTCCCGTCATTTTATAGTTAAAATTACTAGATATAAGTTCTATAAGTTGACTGAAAAGCAAGAAGCCGGAAGAGAGTTCCACAACTGAGAAGTGCGCTCGAAGAAACTGTTAGCATAGAACTTACGGTAACATCTAGTAATTTCAACTCTACAATGATGAGACTTTGCTGCCAATCTAGTACTCTGCTTAAACTCATAAAATCTAGGTACCGAAGAGGAAAGTATATCCATACTTAAAAACAACTAGGAAAAAAATTGTTTTAATTAAAAGAAAAAAAATTACCGAGTCCAATTCTTTTTCCCAGCAGCACAAATTTAAGCAGATGCTTTTTTTTGTATAAACATATGAGTCCTAAATAACGAACCTCACTGGCCCAGCAACTATCACAAAATATCAAATCATTCCATTGTTATTTATCCTCCTTATTCTCATAATCTTCACCTCTTACATTTATATCACGCCCCTCTTTCAGCAAGGCCTCTGATCAGGAGGTTTTAAAGAGTGTGTAACCACCACTTAATTGCTGGTAACCCCAGGTCCACCCTGATCTGGGTGGGAGCACCTATTAGGGTCCCAGATGTGGGCAAATAGTTAGCCCCAAAACTGGGGTCAAAGCATTATGAAAGTGTAAAATTAGGTTTTAATACCAGCAATATATGTTTGTAAAAAAAATTTACCAGCAATGAATTTTAAAGAAAATAATTATTACCAACAATACATTTTTGGAAAAAAATATTACCAGCAATAGAAATCTTGTCGGCATTAAATAACCCATTGAGGTTAATATGCCGTAAAACAAACCAAACCAAACTAAACATAGTGACTTTATTCCCTTGCTTTAAGTGAAATGATTAAAAAAATTAAAGATATTGTAGTAATTCTCAAGTTGCTGAATTCTATATTCTGGGATGTTTTCTGGATGTGAGACCAGAAAATAAATCACCAGAAAATAAATTTCTATTATGTTGGCATTTAAAAAAAAAAAAGTTACCGCAAAGGTATTATTAAGAAAACAATTCAGCTTATCAACTCCCGGATCATTAATTTCAATTGTAACCGGAAAAAAACGGAGGATGCAAGCAACTATAGCGATCGTGAACACAAGGCCATGGCTTTCCCCATTTTCCTGCCAACGACCAACGGCACCCTAACGATTTTTCTTGTTTCGCTTTCCGATGACTTGCTATCTTTTTCTGCTCTTATGAAACCAGAGAGCTCCAAATAAATAAAAAAGGAACATAAAATAATATATTAGTAAGAAAAAGGGAAGGAAAATGTAATTGAATCTTTTGGAAATAAGGGGATTGTTGAAAAGTTAGAGGCAAAGGAGGAATTTTGCTGTTGTTTAATGGATACTGGATATCTGTGGATAGCTGGATGTGTGTGTGTGTGTGTGTGTGTGTGTGTGTGTGTGTGTGTGTGTGTGTACACACAATGGAGGACAATTGAAAGACATTAAACAAATGAAGCTATTCCGTTGTATATTGAAAATATCGACGAACTGTGTCCTTGTAACGAATAGAGAAACTTATACTGACGAAAAAAAAAAACATTACTGGGGATGCATTAAATTTGATCAATAGGCAGGTATGAAAAGAATCAGATAGATAGATAGATAGATATGAACAGAATTAGATAGATAGATAGATAGATAGATAGATAGATAGATAGATAGATAGATAGATAGATAGATATGAATAGAATTAGATAGATAGATAGATGATAGATGATAGATAGAATTAGATAGATAGATAGATATGACAGAATTAGATAGATAGATAGATAGATAGATAGATAGATAGATAGATAGATAGATAGATAGATAGATAGATAGATATGAAGGGACTGGTAGAGATATGTTAAAACTAAGACGGTTATGAGGTAAATCAAATAAATATCAATGCAGGCTGAAATAGTGATGAACAAACTGAGGTCGGTAGGAAAATGGATACAGAGAGACATAACCAGACTGAGAAATGTATGAAGTGACTAAGATAAATAAATAGATAGAAAGATAGGAACAGAATAAGATAAATGACCGATGATATCTATGAACAAAATTACATATATATATATATAATATATATATATATATATATATATATATATATATATATATATGAACAGAATTAGATAAATAATTAAAAGACTGAAATAATGTATATGAAGAGACTATAATAGATAGATAGATAGATAGATAGATAGATAGGAACAGAATAAGATAAATTATGAACAGAACGACACCAAAAGATATATGGAAAGGAAAAATATATATATATATATATATATATATATATATATATATATATATATATATCAGTCATTTCTTATCAATCAAACACAGTCTCTTCATATACATCTATTTCAGTCTTCATTATCTATCTATCTATCTATCTATCTATCTATCTATCTATTCATATATATTTCAGTCTTTTAATTGTATATTTATCTAATTCTGTTCATATATATATATATGTATATATATATAAAAATTTTTCCTTACATATCTTTTGGTGTCGTTCTGTTCATAATTTATCTTATTCTGTTCATATATATATATATATATATATATATATATATATATATATATATACATATATATATATAAATAGACAATTAAAATTTTTGAAATATATGTATATGAATAGATAGATAGATAGATAGATAGATAGATAGATAGATAGATAGATAGATAGATAATGAAGACTGAAATAGATGTATATGAAGAGACTGTGTTTGATTGATAAGAAATGACTGATATAGATAGATAGATAGATAGATAGATAGATAGATAGATAGATATGAAAAGACTGAAATAGATATATATGAATAGACTGTAAGAGATAGCTCGATATGAAATGACTAACAGATATATAGAACACACTAAGATAGATAGATAGATAGATAGATAGATAGATAGATAGATCATATATGCATACACCTTTTTACCTGTATAAAAATCAAAACTGCTGAGAAATATTCACACATATTCGAATATTCGATATCAATTCAGAAACAAAACCAATCCTATACCCGGCCAACCGACATAACCGTGTTTGTTAAATCATTTAAACTAAATAATCTTACCTTTCTTTCAATAATTACTTAATTTAATTATTATTAATTATTTCAATTATTAATTTACTATTAATTATTCCAGGTTCAATTATTAATTTAATTATTAGCATAAAAGCCTCATCCTTTTAAACTATTGTTCCTCCTACATCAAATATCTACAAACCTCTCTTTCGGAATCGCCTCCTGTAACCTCGTCCCGTTCTCTTTAATCTCGTCCTCGGCCTTACAACACTGGTTTCAGATTTTTAAAAATTTAAAACACGCATGGTCCAAAAGAATCTAGGTCCGTTAGTGGGCTAACAAACCCGGGTGCTTCGACGTTATCCCAAAGAAAACCCGGCTAGAGACGTGAAAAATCGGCCTTAGTCCACTTCAAAGTACACATTTAACCCAGTGTTCGTTCAGTTTTTTCAAAACAGTTTGGAAACCCCTTTTTCTTGATTACTATCAGATGTCTTCTCACGTTCTTCTTAATCTCGTCCATTGGATTTCAACAGTGATTTTAGTTTGAAGTTTCGCAAGTCGGAGAGAATGTCGTTATTTTTACGAAGCGCGGTTTAAATTTTATACGAGGCTAGACGTATGATAACGGTACTAGTAACATACGTCGTTTTCTTATAAGGAAACATTCGGCATTCTTTGACCAAACAGCCATTCTTACTGTCAGTTAAAATTTATAAAATCTTTCTTTTAAAACAATTTTTCAGGAAAACAAATTCCATAAGTTCTGTGGCTTTTATAGTTCTTTCCGGTATTGACGTTGGGGGGGGGGGGGGCATTCAAACTTTTTATTTGAAGCCGTGTGGAATGCCAACATCTTGATTATGTAATTATTTTCTCTTCGAGTTAAATGTGCCATCCATTTTAGCTGTTGCTACTGTTAAAAATCCTCAAGGGATACGATTTCTGTTATCTGGTACAATTCTTTATGATTCTGTAGCGCCAGACCACAAGGTTCGATGAACGATGGTCTTCACCAAGATTCACAGGATTCACTGGCTTAAAAGCCATTTGTAATGTTGAAAAATAAATATTAGTTGTGGAAAGTTATAATTTTTTTTCATCTGCTGCTGATACAGACATATTGTGAAACTGTTGACCTGAGATGGAACAAATACATTGAGTCAATAGCTTCGTCCACTGCAAGAAAAATTGGCTCCCTGTACCGCGCCAGGAAATTTTTATCACCGGAGTCGATCCTTCAAATCTACAAATCAACCATTCGTCCTTGCATGGAGTATTGCTGCCATATATGGTCTGGAGCCCCTTCTAATTGTCTCAAGGTCCTTGATAAAATCCAAAGACGGGTATGCAATATAATTGGCCCTGATCTGGCATATCGTCTGCAGCCGCTCTCTCACAGACGTGCCGTTGCCTCCCTCTGTCTTTTTTTTACAAATACTTTCACGGTAACTGCTCCGATGAGCTGCTTTCGCTGGTTCCCAGACTTCATGAATTTAAGCGTTCAACTAGGCTGGCATCTTGCTCTCATCCTTTCACTGTCGAACCTGTTAAATGTAGCCGTCTCTTCTACTCCAATAGATTCATGTATCGCACTTCTCGCCTGTGGAACTCCCTCTCCATTTCTTGTTTTCCTGATAGCTATAATCTCCAACTATTCAAATGTAACGTCAATCGACGTCTCCAGATTCCCTGATCTATCCCCTAACCGTCTCTTCATCCTTTCCTCTATCACGCCTCTTTGTTCTTGCTCCTACTCTGAAACCCTTTGCGTGCTAGGGAATTCCCGCCTTGCTTGGGGTTGAATGCTTAAAAAAAAAAAATTAACAGAAACCACATCATTCGAGGACAACCAACAGTAGCAACAACTAAAATGGACAGCACATGTAACTCAAAGAGAAAAATAATATAATCAAGCTGTTGACGTTCGTCACTGCTTTGAAGAAAAGGTTAGGTAAAAAGCCCTTATAGTACGGGCCAGGAAGGACCCCCCCCCCCAACATCAGGAGGACCCTCCCGTCAATACTGGAAAAAGAAATAACTAGAAAAACTGATTTCCCTTATAAAATTGTTTTAAGAGGAAGATTTTATAAATTGGTCCAAACAGTGGAACATTTAGAATGAAACACCCTTTGTTACCGACAGGGGGAGCTTACGGACTATCCCAGTCACTTTACTCCACTTGGCCAAGTGTGGCACACAACGATGCCTGAACACACTATGTTTCTGATTTAGTTTAAACAACAAGATTGCTAACCGTTGCGTTGCAGCACGACCACGCCACTATTCAATATTCCCTGATCGATAAATTATATATCGATAAATCGATACCACTCTACTAATCAATAAGTCAATGCATTTCAATTTATTCTACTCGGTGGAGTTAAATCTTTTATTTCCTTTTCGTTCGCTAAAGTATTTCGACATTACAATTTCTCTTTGTCGGTTGCCGGTGTTTCGAAGTTCACAGAAACCGTACAAGGAACCAACATTGGAATAGAAGTATGGAACACCCATGTCTGTCAATATAATTACCTCATTAAACTTTACTTATTCTCAGAAAAAATGAAAAGCCACTAGTTTATATATATATATATATATATATATATATATATACGTAAAAATGAAAACCATGTTATATATATATATATATAGGCTGCGTGAAAATCAAATATATATATATATATATATATATATATATATATATATATATATATATATATATATCCTACACATACGCATATTCACACGGTTACGCACGTATACACACACAAAAAATCAACCTAACACCAATAAGTAGCACATAAATTATTTTATCTTAATATAAAAAAAAACAAAAATGAGAAAATCGGCAGTCAATTGCTGAAACTTCCTGACGAGTGGACCGAACGATTACAAAAAAGTTCGGCTGCAAAACTTTGGATTTGGGGTAATACATATGACAAATATAACATCAATCAGCCAAGTTACAAATTTTATATTTGTATTAATTCGTTTAAACTTATGTCTACAAATCCTTCGTTTTTGTATTATTAGGTTTAAAGAAAGTTTACGATAGATGGCGCTGCGCTGCCACGTAGACTAGGTTATATTTGTCATTCGTGTACATTTGTGGTTAGTCTATTTTCAACGTATAACGTGTGTAGTAGTGAATTAACGGAGAAGTGTTCCGTTTAACAATGCCGGGATATTCATATCATGAACAGGCAGATATGATTTTATACATACGACCACGCGAATGGTAATAGACGCGAGGCTGCACGGCTGTATCAGATTGCGTTTCCAAACTGACAGCCGAGTCATCCAACCATGGCTGCTGTTTACCGTCGAAGAAGACAGAGACTCGCTCGAACGCCTGACCACAAAGAACACATTTAAACTTTAAATTTAATAACTCAAAAACGAAGTATTTGCGAAAATATGTTTATATGGACGTGTGTCCTTGTTTTGGTGTAAGGAACCCGCTCCTAAAGTTTGTAAAAGTATTTTTGATACACACTGGACATATATATATATATATATATATATAAAGACATTTTTTTTGGTTATGCGTTCTTTTTATAGATACAAATATTTAAGTAAATGCTCTGTTTTTAATAAACATTCAAGCCGGCAAATGTTGTTAATATTGTTTATTATAAACAGAGTATTTACTTAAACATTGTCCATTTCATAATGTGTGACGTCATTTTTTTTTTTTACATTTGGATACGCATCAAGCAGATATGAATGTATGAGAGAAAATCATGGAGAATTGTGGTTTTAAAAAAAGTAAAATCGACCTTGCTAACCGAAACGCTCCTCTGTGACTGAATCGGTAAAATCACGTCAGGCTAAATGACGGTTCCGTATAGGATACAGGTTCGATTCCTGTCGGAAGACGCATATTTTCTATTAAAATTTCTCGGACATTCAGGCCGGTAAATGTTGTTAATACTGTTTATTATAAACAGAACATTTACTTAAATATTTGTATCTATAAAAAGAATGTATAAACATAAAAAATGTTTTAAAATAATTGTCGGGCTTTGTAAGTAGCGTGAAATTTGGACATTTCGTCTGGCTGAGGCATCGAATTGGATAGGTTCTGTATCAATTTTTCGACTACTGTCAAAGTTAAATTTTAAATCCCTAATTCCGACACGAATACAGTCTATACACCGGGGTTGAATAAGAACAACGTATTTCGCATTGGTTGAAATAGATCTAGGCTCATGTGAGGTAATTTTGGATTTTGTTGTGTAATTTATATGCTCTGTTATAATAAATACATTGAGCTCTTTTTGTGCATCAGTTTTAATATTTGATATTACTAGGATCCCCTCGGATTATATACCAACGGATTACCTGTACTATATATCTTATATATAAAGTACAGTGTATGTGCGTGTGTGTATCCAAGCAACTCCTCTGCTCCCACCGGTCCAATTTCAATGATTCATAGCTCATTCAAAAGCCCTAGAAAACTTAGGCACAGGGAACGATTTTCGTTGAGCTCAGATTCAGGGTTGCCAGATTATGCGAGGTTAAATATATATATTAATATATTATACTAGCCATTATCATTGCTTTCATGGTTCAAGCGGAGAAACTCATATTTTACTTTTGTATCCAAAATTGAAGCTAGCTTAAAATTTTAAGCATCTCTTTTAAGCAAGCTTAAAAGCCTCCCTATCAAGCGGTATTTAAGCTAGCTTCTGTGGGGGTCTCTTGGTTTGGCCATCAGCGCAATATCTAGTGAGGAGTAGATGAGATAGGCATCAATAAACTACAGAAGAACACAAAATTGATCGCTGCATTTATGTATTGAATTAATGTTTAAGCTAACCTTTTAAAAGTTCATTGATAATTCTTCTGCTGCCACTTAATTTAAAGATGATTTGATGTATGTAGATCCTTATTTTCCATACAAACAATTATTTTTATTTCATGGCTGACAGAACAGAGGACAATTTATAAGATAAAATTAAAATAGTGTAAAGATGGGAAAACAGAAATTAGAATTAGTTATACATTCAACATTTGACGGGTTAGAGAAACATAATAACTAATTAAGTAGAATCTATATTATGGAATCTATACGAATAAATGCGAAATTGGAGCTCAATTCTCCCGCGAATTCTGAGATTAAAAACCACAGCTCTAGTTTATAGTAATTTTGTATTTCTTCCCCAACTAAGATGACACACACACACAAGGTGGGGGACACGGTTTAATGTGGGGAAACCTGAGTTTATTACCTCAGGCAGAAACAATTTTTTCAGTTGTCTTTTATTGCCACTTTGACGAAGTAAACCCCTCCAAGGACGGGTAAAATATATTTATGATACCCAACCCACTACTGAGTCAGGTTGCCAGGTAAAGGTCGGTTTTTAACGTGGGGTTTTGAGTGTCTGCAATCGGTCCGCTGGTCTTAGCTTCTCCAAGCTGGTCAGAGCAGGTCCAAAATGGTCATTATGATGCTACCAGCACAGGGACGGATCCCTGTGACCGGTAAGTTCCGAAAGTGTTAATTAACCACCAGTTCAATTACGACTGGTTTATTTCATTCGATCCTCAATCATTCCCTCCTGTTTTTATTCAAGGATTGTTTTGATTTTCATAAAAAATATTCTGTTTAGGAATATAATTTTATTCCCACAAGTACGAATTTGTGAAACAAGGTCTTTTTTCAACAAGTTGGGATCTAGAGCGCGTAAAACTTTCCTTAAAGGAAAAAAACCAATTTCACAGCCAATGAAATATTCATTTAACCGTCGGTTGTTTCTCGGTGATTTCACATAGTAAATATATCTCTCTGTTGCAATGAGTCTGCGATCTTGTTTTCTGTTCCTTCAGTGCTGGGCACCTCTCATATATATATATATATATATTATATATAAACTTGGACATATATGTTATATTTATATATCTGTCAGTTGGACAGAATGTATTTTATCATACATATTCTGTGGGTTGGCAGAGAGAGATGATAAAATAGACTTCTTAGAATTTTCCCCAAATTTAAAAATTTTAGTTCGAAATTTCCTTTTAAAAGTACAAATAACTGAGTAGGCTTTTAACGAAAAAATCAGTTTTTAACGTGGGCTGGATTGTTTTCACAAATGGTGGTCTCAGGCTGGTCTTTTCAATTGATCTTGAATCCAAGCTTTATTTAAAAAAACTAATCAAGTCATATATTATTTCAAAGCTGGTAAGAGATAAAGAAATGCTGGTCAGAGAAGTTTTATACAAAATAAGGAGGTGATATATTAAAATCACAGGGAAGGAGGAGGAGGCGGAAGGATTTTATCAAACATATTATATACTCCTCAACCAATGGAATTTAATTGAAATGTACATTTTTTTATACCCCCATATGAGCCAGGTTGTGACACAAGGTCGTTTTTAGTTGGGGACCATAGTGAATTTGAAGTCTTAGCTGGTTGAAATGATCCAACTGGTCAGAGCTGGTCTAAGCTAGTCTTATATATATATTACTGGTATATAGCCGGTCCAATCCTACTCAGAGTGTTAATACTTTACCTATTTTGACCGTTAAGGCAATTTATTATATATTTAGATAGATAGGTTAGATAGAAGGTCATTTTTTAACGTGGGGATATTGTGTTGAAACTCAGGCCACTGAAGATTTGGTCTTCTCTGGTCATAGCTTGTCCAAGCTAAGCTAGTCATAGCTAGGCGTAGTCGTGATACCACCAGCACAGGGGAGCTTCTGACTAAATTGTATATCATGTCAAACCAAATTAAGATTACATTTAATATTTTTTTAATCTTTGTAAAATTTTCACGACACCAACCAGTCTTTTTCTGTAATTTTAAGAAATTTCTGGTAGTAGTGAACGTCAGTTTTTGACCATTCGTCTTGGCTGGATTTGCATCAATTACCAACCTTAATTATATATATATATATGTGTGTGTAAAATTTTGTATAATGTTGTTCATTAGTTGTTCAAAGTTTTGTACTACTTGCACCCTTGAAGATGATCTTGGAAGAAGATCAAAACAACTTTTTCAAATAAAAATAAAAGCTTTTAAAACAGCTATAGCACATTTCTCTCATCCTTTAACATCTATACACGGAAGATTATTCGTTTATTTGAACGGATTTTTTGAAAAAATTAGCAGACATAATGTATGTAATTTATTCAATCACACAACAACACACACACACACACTTAAAATATATATATATATATATATATATATATATATATATGGACTTCTGCATTTTTGGCAAAATGTCTTTATTGTAATTCGTAATTTAATTTATTTAAATAATCATTTTTTAACCTGGTTTTCTATGACCTTACGAGTCACCTTTCAACTAAATAATGTATTTTGGCATAAATAACGATGACCTCTTCGAGAAACTTGGACAAACGACTGACCAGACAAGAAATGTTTAAATGAAGAAAAAAATGAAGTTTAACAAAGAAAATTTTTTTTTTAAATCTAAAATCGCAAGATATCTCGTATCGGAATCAGTTTCGGTACTTCAAAGGAAAAGATAATTTTTTTAAAGAGACAAAAAGAAAAGACGTAAGTTAAAAGTCTGTTGTCATTACGAACACGTGTTATTACTTACTTCAGAGTTTCCCTAATTTGCCAATTAATGAACGACACACTTCATTTTCGAGGAGTTCGTTATTTTTTACTGTTTATATTCTCAGCTGTATTGTGTAGAGACAGTAGTAATTCTAAGCTGTGCTAAAAGAAAAGAATGATGTAGGACCCGTCGAGTGGAAGAAACGAAAAGTAAAAGATATATTGAAAAAAAAAAAACTTGAACCCAAAAAATTTTTAAAATCAACACGCGTTCGAAATCCAAACTTCAGAGCATCAATAAAAAATATACTAACAACGTACCCCTTTAAAATGGGTAATGAATTATAAAAAGCTCTTTTTTTGAAAAGGTGTTCATGGGACAATAAAGTATTTTACGCAATTTTTTTCTCATAAAGGAAAGCTGTAAGAACATTAGAAAAAACTAAATAAAATCATGTATAAAAGAAAGATTGCTGCGTCCAAATATATATATATATATATATATATCGTACAATTGGAATTAAGATATTAGTTAATGACCATTTTCACCTGCGAATTTGAAATTTGAAATTCGCAAGATTTTTCAAACTGTTTAAGGTGTCAGGATTGGTTAGTTGGGGAACGTGTTGGTTTTGAGGGGGGGAGAGATAACGTTAGGGAGGACATTAACAAAAAAGATGAAAGATGGCCATGTCAGATTTACAGGAAGTAATTGGATATTTATTATGGAGCAATTTGGATTCAAAGAGACCTTTAATCCGATGAGCTGAAGATACATCTTAATGGTCACATTCATAAAAGAATCCATAGAAATTTAATCAAAAAAATGAAAAAACCTAATTTGTATAAAATATTAAGAGATAAATGTTAGTGAGATGAAAAGATTTTCAGAATTATTGGTATGTTAAATTAGTCCATATATCAGAATTATTAAGGGAAGTGTTGATCTTTTTTTAGGAATTTGATTATACATGCGTACAATAACATGCGTACGTGCACGTTAAGAACATCTCTAACATACAACCATGATATACTCACACACATTAACACACGCACGCACACACACACACACACATAATATATATATATATATATATATATATATATATATATATATAAGGGTGCGATGAGTAAATTGTAAATTTTTATATTTTTGTTTTTCAGTTCATATGCATTTTTTTTTTTGATTTTGTTGACTGCACAGCATAGTAGGGTCATTTGGGCACCGTCTGTGAGAAAAAAGAGCACCATGATGCAATATCACTGCATATATAAATTTGGAAACGGCATATGTACTGCTTGGCATTCGCGCCGGAAGCTCCAATACGGACATTTTCCAGTGTATTTGTCAATCTGAAGACAGTGCAAAGGATTCGGAAAGAGTTTAATGAGTCTAATATGATTACGATGTGGTTTCGAATGATCACTAGTGATGTTAATGTTATGCCTCCATTCGTCTTTCCACAAAGCCCGAGATTCAACACGGAGGCCTACATCAAGTGCCTTGAGGAGAGAAATGCTTCCCTTTGTTAAGAGGGTGGCTGCTGGAAAACCATATGTCTGGCAACAGTACTCTGTTACCATGCCATTACAAGCAGGAGATTGTATGACAATCATGTCTGCCAGACAATTAAGAATGGTCGCGTCACTCCTTACATCTGGCTACATAACTTACCAGACTGCGGTAACTTCGGTTTTTGAAACATGGTAATTTCTGTGTAGCGAAGAAACCATATTTTTAAATCAGTTAACTTATAATATATATATATATATATATATACATATCTGTGTGTGTGTGTGTTCCTTTGAGATTGTTTTCGATTAATTTTCCTCTAGCTTTCGTACATCCTACCTTTCCTAATTATCATCCTCCCCTCTAACCACCGCTTCTTTGTCGTTTTTTCAATATCTTCCCGTTTATTATTATTTATGTTTCTCGGTCGGAAAGTTTAATTGTTTCCTGCTGAGAAGTCCACATGATCGAACAGAAACTACATTTAGGCCCTAAGTAGAAAAGTGTAACGGTCGCACATACAAACAGCGTAATAATATAACATCCTTTCTTTCTTTGTTTTGCTCCTTTCTTTTCTCTTTCTACTTTTTTATCCTCTTTTGTTTTTGTTTTGTTTTTTGTTTTTTATTATTATTATTTTTCCTCCTCTCTTTCTTTTCTTGATTTTTCTTGACTCAGATCTTTTTCTTTTTTCTTTTTTTGTTCTGGTCTCTTTCTTATTTGCTCCTCTTCTTTTTTTTTATTGTTGCTCCTCTTCTCTCTCTCTCTCTCTCTCTCTCTCTCTCTCTCTCTCTCTTCCCGCATAATGCATTCTACAAGCATTGCTCACGCGAAAAGACTTTTTTTTTACTTTCGTTCCTTTTCTCCGCTTCTTGTTTTCTGCTTTCTTTCTTATCTCTCTTCTTCTCCTTCTAAAAGTTTCTCGCTTATTCGTACATCTTATTTTCACGGTTTTTGTCTGTTTTTTTTTTACCCAATACAAACACGTACACATTTCATATTCAAGAAACCTGTATTTGCAAATAGCATTACGGTTCTTCATACTAAAATGCTTTTATAAAACCAGTGATAAACGAAGACATACAATAACTAAAAATAAAACAATAATAAATGAATCTAGTTTCGTAGGTCGCCATGTTCTTTTGCATTCAAAGATATTTTCCTTTTCTTTTAACTTATTTCGAGGAAGAATTTCTTCGTCTAAAATGTATCCATTGCCTTTACGGTTATTTTCCTTACATTCCCGTCCTTGAAATTGTCTCGAATACATGTGTATTGCAGATTTTAGAAACACGAAACTGGATTTTTCTTTATCGGTGTCGATCCGACATAAAAAAAAAAATCGACTTCAGCTAAGAATGGAATCGCGGGCTTCATATCCACACATACAAGCACACGTGCGTGTGCATACATACACAGGCACATACACAGGCACACACACATAAACACACGCGCGCACACACACACACACACACACCCATATATATATATATATATATATATATATATATATATAAATAATAAAGAATGAAATATTATAAAAAGATAAAATTTTTAGAAAAAGAGACAGTTGAGGTTTATAGGGCACATAATGAGGAAAGAGGGCTTGGAAAATTTGATGCACATAGGACAGTTTAAAAGCAAGAAATACAGAGGAAAACAAGGCATGAACATAGTGAACTTGTGTAAATGGATGATGGAACAGGATATAGGAGAAATAACAGAAAGAAAATATATTATGCGCTATAAGGGACAGGAAGTTGTGGAGAACCATGAATACTTACGTCCTGAGGGAACATGGCACATAAAAAAGAAGAAACTGCAGTAGCAAGACGGTTGATTTTCTAAAAGGTTTATAACATAAATTGTTCTATATTTTCATTTCTTGAAAAGCATATTGAACGCTTTTTCATTAATTTAACTGATTTTGACAAGTAATAGATTTTTTTCTGAAAAGGTTTGTTTATATATATATAAAAGGCTGGATGTGTGTGTGTGTGTGTGTGTGTGTGTGTGTGTGTGTGTGTGTGTGTGTGTGTGTGTGTGTAACGAATGCACGGCCGCAATTTTCGACGGATTTGCACCAAAATTTACATGCACATGCTCCAAGTTATCGAGAAGGCCAAGACCGATTTTGCATTTCCCAACTCCCATCGATAGTGGAAATAATCGATTTTTTTCATGCTTCTACGGCAATTTTCATGTAGTTTGCGGCCATTTTCTACTGGCCAGAGTGAGAGCCTATAGCTGGCTGCCACGAATAGACAGGAAGATTCTATTGGCCAGCGTGAGAGCCAACAGCTGAATAACACGAATGTTAACTAGCATGCTAGCCTGCAAAAAAAATCAATAGCTGCATTCGTCACAGGTGGGAAAAATTTAAATCTGCATGGCACTTTATTCCAATTGGCTCATTCGCTTGCTTAAACTCAACATTGATTCTGATTCCACAGAACTGGGTTGGGTGTGAAAAAAATATTTGTTGTTAACATTCTTTTTTAATTCAGTTTTTCCAGTTACGAGTCCTTTTTTAAAGCTGATCGTTTTGTGTTCATTTTGTTTAGTTCTTTTCTCGTAACAGACTTAATGTTTAGTATAGAGCTTAGAAAAAATTCACAGTGTGAGATAGGCAAGAAGTAAGGCATGTAGCAACATCAGCATGGCAAAGGGCACTCCTTTAAAAGGCAAGGAAGGGCAAAAAATATTTTAAGTCAAGTGATAGCGATTGTATGAGTCGTACGATTTTTTGAATCAAGCACAGGCAACGCCGGGCCATGCTGTTAGTATATATATATATATATATATATATATATATATATATATATATATATATATATAAAGATATGTTTCAAACAAAATTTTATCACTGTCATGAATAGAAAAATTAGTTTTAATATCAGTTTTTAATACTGATGATAATAAAAAGTCAAAATGAAAAACGGGCTAGCCAACCGGTTTTGTACCTCGCTCAACATAACTAAATCGAGGTAAATAGAGTAAATTATATAATAAAAAAAAGAACAATGAACAATGTTTTTTGCGGGAGGAAAAAAAAATTAAATGGGAATTAGTTGGAGGCCTAATATAAAGTCCTTCTGTTTCCAAAGAGAAGGCTTTAATGATAAAATATAGACGGCCTCCAACAATTTTAGGTGATAATTTGAGTGGGACTTTCTAAGGATGGTAATATATATATATATATATATATATATATATATATATATATATATAATCAGTTCAATTTCATGCCAAAGAAGGCAAATGTGATAACACCAAATAAGCAGCAGAGGAACTGAAAGATTGGAAGAAAGAACCGGATAAAACCCAATAATAGTATAAATTTCAGAGTTTAAGCGGAGATGTTAGAAGTATAGAATTGAAGACGAATTTAGAAGGAAGGGGAAACACAATCCTAAACAGGAAACACGGGATAAATCTCCACCCGTGTTCAAAAGACCGTATATAAATGGGTTATATTTTATTTATTTTTGTATTTTTCCCCTCCGTCTTTTCGCCCAAACTTTCGGTGTTCGTATATTACGGCTGTGGAATCCATTAAATAATGTTTCATTCAACCTTCAGGAAAATGATACCTTAATATATGGAAAACCAAATGTAGTGTGGTAGTTTGTGTTTTAGTGTTACTGATATATATATATATATATATATATATATATATATATATATATATATATATATATATATTTGGTTGGATTGACGTGAGTTTGTGACCTGGGTTTCACGCTTTTGCGTTCGTCAGACAAACTCTGACGATCGCAAAAGCGTGAAACCCAGGGTCATAAGCTCACATCAATCCAACCAAATATGTTGGTTCTATCTCTGATATTGAATGCTTTCTTATAAGTACCGCGCATATAATATATAAATAATAATATACATAATATATTAAACACATACAAACACAACACACACACACACACACACACACACAAACGCACACGCATGCTATATATATATATATATATATATATATATATATATATATATATATATATAAAGAAAAACAGGCCACTTTAAGATTCCATTACAATAATTTATTTCACCAGAGCCCTTTTAAAGGACTCAGGATCATCAGATAGCACATCCTAAAATGGTGGAAATATATATATATATATATATATATATATATATATATATATATATATATATATATATATATATATATATATATATATATTTATATGTTTCTATATATATATATATATTTATATTTATATACACACTTTTCACACACACACATATATATATATATATATATATATATATATATATATATATATATATATATATATATATGTATGTATATATATATATATATATATATAACTATGAATCTAAAGAGCCAGACAAACCTACCTAGGTTTCACCTACGCAGATCGTCAGGGTACACTGGGTATTGGTTTGTTCATTTACAAGCCAAAATACCTAAGTTTTTTCTAAACCAGTATAATTACTTATATATATATATATATATATATATATAATAACAACACGCATGCAAAATAAGGTGCGATGATTAAATTGTCGCCATATCATATTTTTACTTTCGTGCATGCGTGTTATTTGTTTATTTTTTTTGTTTTGTTTTTTGTCGTCTGTACAGTATAGTAGGGTCGATTGGGCACCGTCTGCGAGAAAAATAACACCATGACGCAATTCACTCCACCATAAAGTTGGAATCGGTAAGCTGTTCTGCTTAACCATGGCAAGTTATTCTACAGAACTCGAACTCTTCCCAAGCGAGGAAAATTTTTTAAAATTATATAACTGAATCTTCTGGCTATAATTTGGCTTTTATCAATGTCACTCATATCTTTCTTCTTATGCATTAAAAACAAATACTCAAGGTCGGCCTACTTTTGACCAGCACAAGCGCTGTTGTTATAAGACAATAGCTGTCATTCTTGGCACATGTTGCGAATCATAATATTTCAGTCCATCCGTGTATGTATATCAATGAGCATTGTACATAAGAACACATGCTCCACACATATCCACACGCACATAAAACCGGCAGACATATATGCATATAGATATAATTTATTCTTTTTTATTAGTTTACTTCTTTTCGATCTCCTCAAATCCATCGCAACTGTTTCTCTTGTAGTCATTTGAGACGGACACATTCCTTTAACCTAATTTCCCGCGCTTTTTAACCTAATTTCCCGCCTTTTTTTCTATTGCTTTCATTTTTCTCTCGTTTTGTTTCTCTTTCCGTATCGGTTTACCTCCCCACTTACTTCCCAATATATGAAATTTTATATACGAGGCCACTAAAAAATCGACTGGTTTGCGATAATTTCGATTCTTTACACCAGCAACAAACTCGTGAGAACAGAAAACGAGATAAGAAATAATAATAAAAAAAATCGATGCAAATATTCAGTAATTTTGTTCATTCTTTCAAATGAAATGAAAATATATATTTATTATAATAGAATATTTTTGTTTATATAATATTTTTTCCATTTCTATCACTTTGATATTAATTTTTCTACTGTGTGTTCAAATGAATCTTATTTTCATAAAAAAAAATATATTTTGAACAAAAATGATATAAAAATCCATTCCTTATAAGACGAAAAATCCAACATAGGCCTCTTATAGGATCTTTGATAAAAATGGAATCACCTCTAAATTGCTGATGTTTTAGGTTCATCATGATATAAAAATATGTTATATATATATATATAAATAGTTAAAATAAACTATGTTCAAAAGCTTATATATCAAATATTTGTAAAAAAAAAATTCTTAACTAAAAATAATTTAACTAGGAAAATATTATATAAATATATATAGACAACAGAATCCCCAATATATCTAAGCCAAG